AACTTAATAGAAGGTTCCCCTTAGTTCTTCGGTGCTATAGACTTAGGATAATAGGCCGTTAGTTAGGCTAGTTATAGGCTACGCGGCTTCGGTACTTAAGTATTAAGTACGAGCGTAATTAGGATGTCGAGCGTAGTAGCGGGCGTAGCAGCCGCCGTTTAGTTGTTCTAAACCTTCCTAAATTGCGGTGCCTACTAACCTAGTATCGGGCGGACCTACCTTCTACAAATAAGGGTATAAACAATAGAAAAGTAAAGGCGGCGGGGTGCCGGCGACGGCGGTATACTTAGTCTATCGCCCGTATCCGCGCCGACTTGTCGCTAGTAATTTCTTAACTCTTTCGCTTAGTATAGTCTAACTGCTACTTTCGTCGATAGTGCGGAAAATGGCGTTAGAGTAGGTCGTTAGGATTCCTCCTAGGTACGGAGGACCTTTTACCTTAGGAGGAGGAGAGGGATAGTAAACCGTAGTTCGGATAGTCCGTTTAGTAACGGTTAGTGCGTTTTTCTTACGCTAGTGCTTGTAGCGAAGCTACTATTTTGTTATAGTTCGAAACGTGGTTTTTAAAGTATATTGATTTATATTATATCTATCTAGCTACGGAGGAAGTATATACCTATAGTAGGCGGCTAGTAGTAGCCGCTAGGTATCCCTTTCCCTCTAGCTTCGTAATAGTAATAGTGTTCCTTAGTTAGATTAGCGACAAAGCGTAATAATAAACCGGCGGTATAATAAGCGTCCGGTCGAGTAATTATTACCGGCTATAGAGCCTCGCTAATGCCCTCTTAGTACTTAGTCTTAAAGGTAGCACTAGCTGTATAGGTCTTAGGCGTACGCTAAATAGCCGACTTAGTATAGCGTAGAGCTGTTAGAGTAGTAGGAGCTATACGGCCCTATATACCGTACTTCTTACTAAGCCGGTTTAGATAGGCGTCCTATACTATATAGATAGTGCGGTCCTTGCGATTGCGAATAATACGTATACCGAGATAGTAGTAAAGGTTACTAAGTTCTCGCATATTAAAGCGATCCTTTAGTAGTTAAGCGACTGCCTATAAAGTAGCTATTAAGTATATAATAATAATTATATTATCTACGTAAATAACGATAATTGAGTTGCTAAGCGTATGTTTAAACATATATACGTCGCTTATTATAGGGATGAAATTGAGGCTCTTTAAGTACTTACGGAGCTCTTCGTACTATAGTATAGGTAACTGCTTTAAGCTATATAGAGCCTTTAGCAATAGGCAAACTATGCCCTTGCTACTACGGTCTTTAAAGCCGTATAGTTGTTTAACGTAGATCTTGTGCTTATCGCTAATTATAGCGTTTAAGAAGGCAGTAAGAATGTTAAACTGCTAAGCTTCTATGTTATAATAAGCAATAAGGGCGAATAGGGCTCGAAGAGTTAATAGCTTAGCAATAGCGGTATAAGTCTTATTATAATCCTTACCCTTAACTTAAGTAAAGCCCTTTACAACCTAACGGGCCTTAAAACGGCTAATCTTGCTATTAGCATTACGCTTAATAGTAAACACCTATCTACTACGGACAACCTTGCGGCCTATAGGTACTTCTTGCTTAGCAACGTAGACCTAGGTTGCGTTATCGATAAGTAACTTGTATTTAGTCTTATAGGCCTCTTTCTATTATAGCTAGTATAGTAATTCCTTAGCAGCCTTAAAGCTCTTTAGAATAGGAATGTCGTTAGCAGGATTATCGGCCTATTTAGTAATATAATAGGCAGCTATAAAGCCCTTTATATAGGCTATTAGTATGTTAGCTAGGTTACGGCGCGTTAATCGATTAACGCTAGTATCGGCTAGATAGCTACGTAATAGCTCTCGTACTAACTTATTGCTTCGAGTAATACGTATTAAACGAGCGCCTACGGCATTTAGTCGCTTAAACTCTAGTAACTAGCTAGGCTCGCCCTTCTTAGCATTTAGATTAAATAGTGTCTCTTCCTTAGCAGATTAGAAGCTACCTCTCTCGCTTAATAGTTGAATGTTAGGCATGTCGTCTTCCGTTAGTAGTAGGTTAACTACCTTATCTGCTAGTAGTATATTAAGTTGCTCTATAGGGACCTCTTATTAAGCTAGAAGTTGCTAAACAATACTAGCCACTTCTATAGCCTTCGGTGCCTTACTCGTTGTCGTATTAAACAAGGCTAGTATAACTAACTTAATAGTTATAAACCGGCTCTTAGACGGGTTGTTAGGATTAGTGTATAGCTTAACGCCCTCTAGAAGCGACAACTTGTCGTCTCCTAACTTAATAAATTAGATATCCTTCGAGGTAATAACCTTATGCTCGTTAGGCAAGTAGATTATATATTTGCCTAAGTCTACGGAGTCCTTCGTATAGCTAACTAGCTTGCCGAGCTTACTACGAGCGTTAAACTTCTTGCTACGAGCTATACTATAGTCGTAGATAATAGCTATATAGCTATAGGCGCGCAGGTGTCGAATACGTAGCTACTTGCGTAACTAGCCGAGCTCCTTAGTAACTACTATATAAGGGCTATCTCTATCGAGGGCCTAGCTTAGTATAATGTTAATAACCTATATAGCGGCAGTAATAGCCTGCGGCTATAGAGCTTTTAGAAGATTAGTATATAGTATTATCTTTCGAGCCGTAGTATAAACGATGTAATTGCTAACCTTAGCTAGGCTATTTTAAGTCGAAGAATAAGGCGCCGTAACCTATAGTACAATACTATAATCGCGAGCCTAGCTTAATAGCTAATTTCCGCCGTACTTACTCCCTCTATCGAGGCGGTAAATAGGGATTAAATAGCTAGTCTATATACGGACGTATATACGATAATCCTTAATAGCTACTATAGCTCCTAACTTTAAGCTGCTTAAGTATTCGTAGCGATAAGCTAACTTAGCGTATGTAAACAGCGTAAAGTAGCGTTCCTTGCAAAGACTAGGGTTAGTAATACAGACTACGTTAATATAGACAATATAGTAGATCGTAGATAGCCGCATTCGAGGCAGTCGGCTATACTCTCTATAAGCTATTGCTATACGGCAGGCAATGCAGTTATAGAATGCTTTCTTGTCGCTAGTAATAATAATGTAGCCTTTAGCCTCTAGACGCAACAGCTTAGTATAGTAGATATAGCTAAGACGTAGATGCTATTCCTCTATAGTACCTATTAGTACCCCCTTCTTTAATAGAAGCGTAACAACCTAGCTATTAGGACTAGAGGTAGGTATATAAAGGAAAGGAAGGCTATCCTTGCGGTAGGTCTAAGCGACAGTAATCTTATTGCCTTTAGCATCGTATGTAAACAATACTCGCTTATTATTGCGGTAAAAGTAGCCCTTATTAGCAAGCTTCTTAGTAGACAGAAGGTTAGCTGCTAGACTAGGCATATATAGTGTTTCTAACAGTCGTAGCGTACTTATTCTATGCTTATTAACAACCTTAGTGCTAGCTATACTAATAAGCGTAGCATGTTTGGTATTGCTACTAAAGCGGATAGGCACACTATAGCCCTCGTATTTAACAAGCAATGCTAGGTTATTAACTATATATATACTAGTACCTAAGTCTATAACCTAGTCGGTAGTATAAGTAGCAGCGGCTAATGTAGTTACAGCCGCGTTACTAATAGTAACAGCATTAAACGAGTACTATAACGAGTACTAAGATAATCGCGGAGCTTCTACTATATCCGTACGAGGGTTGTTATAGGCGAATAGGCCTTATAGACTAGATAGTAGTTGTTGCTAAGCAGTTAGACTACGCTACTGCTATTGTTATACCCCCTTCTTCTTAGCCTTCTCGCGCTTACGACGGAGTCGGTCTTCCTCTTTTAAATAAGGGTACTTAGTGTAATAACGGTTAGTTAGATAAGTGCCCTTGTAATAAGCGTACTTTAGTCGAGGCGCCTAACTATTCTAGTTGTTTCTACTACGGCCTCGAGTGCTAGAGCTTCTACGACTACTACGGCCGCTTCCTCGAGGTACGTTATTATTTATAGTAGCGGCTAGCTGCTATAGTTTCTATAGGCTATAGTATCTACTATACTAGGCCTAGTTAACTTATATAATATTCTTATTAAGTAACGCACTAATAATATTGTCGAGTGTGTTGCTGTTTACTTTAAAGTTAGTAGCGCGCATCTGTTCGCGGCGCATCTACGCGAAGGCCTCGTAGAATAGGCTAATTAGTATAATAAAGAAGTAGACTGCTTAATAGTCGCTAATAGCTAACTTAGTAGTGCTTAGCGCACTAAGCTTCTTCTTATAGTCGTTCTAGAACTTCTTAATATCCTTGCCTTCGTAGCGAAGAGTAGAATACTCCTAGAACAATATAAATTTAGTAGACCTACCGTTACTAGTATATTTCTTCTTAAGGAAGTCCTAGACTTCCTAGGATATAGATAGACTAAGTAGTAATTATTAAATATTACTAATATAGTTAGCAAAGATCCAGGTACGCGCTGTTTAATCTTTAGAGTCCTATTTATCTTAGCAGTCTTTAAACTCTTTAGAAGACTTACTAGAGTCCTTAGTAAGAGGTCGCTAGCGGGTGCCTTATATATAGCGCTAGACCGATATACCTTTAAGGGCGCCTTTAGCGGCGTAGGCCTATGCTAGATAATTCTCCTTATTCTTTAGCTTAGGAATATTGCTTATATAAGCGTTAGCGGTTATAGGGGGAGCTATTACTAATAGCGACGGCGATATAGAAAGAGACTATAGACTTATCTTAAGAGGCCGCCGATAGGCGCGCCTATATTCTAGTATAGCAGACAGCTAACACTGTTATTACGTATAACGACCGACTCGAGTCGGACTAGTATCTACTAGAATACTCGAGGGTAGTAGCGGCGACGATAATAGTATCGGCGCAATTTTTAGTAACGAGCGCTAGCTACGTAGCAGTCGGATTGACTATTAGAATACGTGTTAAATGCGTTAGAAACGCGGGGGGCTTATAACCACTTGAATGTAACTAATATATTCGAGAGAGACTATCTACGAGAAAGTCGGAAGAAGAAGTGCGGCAGTTGCAGCCTGAGGCATCATGCACGTGATACCACACCACACACACTCTTCAAGTCTTCGTTGCAACGCTTTTGCTCAAACCTCAGTAGTGACGGAGTGACTCTTGCCACAAGCTGTATGATACCTCCATGTGGCATAAGCACACGCGAGGTTGGCCCGTTGACGAATGCTGCTGCTACCGCACCACCCGCCAAAGTCACAAAGAATTTCCTCTCGTCGTCCATTGTGAATGTCTTGATTGCAATATCCAACATATCACCCTCTCCGCTAGCGATCACTGAGTACTTATGGACCACAGAAATTCCTTCCAGAGCGTGGGTCGCCGACCAATTTAATCGGAATTTCCTTCACCGCAGGAAGGAACGTACTCGCCACGCCGACCACATCATGTCTTCCAGTCATTAACTCACTGCCAATACGCTGACTCCGCAGCATCCTCCCAGAAGGGATGTTCAAGCACCTGTTGCATCGTCGGGCGATACGCGGGTTCAAGATGATTCGTTCTCGAAAGCAAATCCTACGTTGGCTCAGTCATCTCTTGACCCCAGACGCGCAGCCTGAGCGCAGGCCTCTCCGTAACTTCCAGATCCGTCGCCTGAGCTGCGCTGCGCAAGGCAGTCTTCCAAGATTCACCAGGGATGCGCGTGTATAGAGTCTCCGGAACAGGTCCAATGGCGAGTAAGCGCACTTCTTGCTCTGGTGCTTTCAGCAAGTCTTGATAGTTGTCTCGTAAAAACAATTCTCCGGCTCCAAGGATGTAGCAGAATTAGAGCCACCATCTCTGCAGCATTGAGCACGCTTCTTGACTTACAACTAGACCTACAGAGTGAACGTCAGATGCTCGGCTTGTTACTCCTATATACGCCTCCGGACGTCGCTACATTGGATTCCCCAAGGCACGTCGCGTGAGTCGGTTTAATTTACAAGCGATGTCAAAATCTCCCAGCACGACGCTGGTCACAACTTCCTTCCCATCATCATCATCTTCAGTCCAGTCCACGACATCTGCAGAAGCTTGTCAATAATGCAGCGAACGTGACATGCACCACCACAAATATAACATACCAGCGTGAATCCAACCTTTTGCGTTGCCATTGCCAGCATTCGCATAATCTTTAGTCTTTCCGGCGGAGGAAAGTCAAGATGATTTTTCATAAGGGCTAGAAGAGTGTCCCGGAAGGATAGAGAATTGATGTGTGATCGTGCTCGTAGAATCGACATGGATGTCAGGTTAGATGTTCTGTGACCGTGATGAGGCAGTTTGCTTCTTTCTGCACCTGAAGACTCCTCCGCCTCTGTGATTGTCGATTCTCATCTCTTCAACCGTCAATCCAGATCTGCCTCCATGGTGGCAGACGCATGTACTGTAAGACTTCTGAAGGTCGAGAGAGCGACCTTCAAAACTGTGCGATCAATTTTCCATCGTCTCGATGGTATGCGTTGATGTCAAGCCAAGGAAGGATGTCGCGAGCATTGGCGCGTCGACCAGGCGCCGATGTTCATTGGTCAGAAGAATACGGACGCTAGTGGCTGCTTCCATTGATTCACCCAGGGAACAGTCCCTGTGGTCCTTCTGCACGGCGCACGCGTTGAGCAGGTTCTGGACGTTGAACAAACGCTGGTATTGTCGCTTCAACAGCTTACGACGTTCCATAGGTACGAGAGTAGAGCACCATGAATGATCGCGTTCCGAGACTGCTCGTCCACCCTGAAACCATGCCGAGACAGACGTTATCAAGGCGAAAGGATTTGATCAGTAATGCGGCACGCAACCCTCGATCGCGACCGCGAAAAACGAGTGGGAAAGGGAGGAGACGTACATGGCGCAAGAGCAAGGACAGTATGTCACATCCAGCGAGCTGTGATATGTCATGGACATTAAGAAAGACGAGATGGCAACATTGGGACCGCCCGAAAGCCATATGTCACGTGCTAGGTATTCCGCGCGCCTAGAATCCTTCAAGGCACCAAGTGGCTGTGTGGCATTGTGGACGACACCTCACAGACATAGCGTTGGCCTTGGAGGCAGTCACCCAATGAGTGTGTATATTCGAAACAACCAAAACGCGGAAAGTGATGTATAAGAAGACCACAGGGCCAAGAACATCTGACAGCATTCTCACAGCCAGCAGCACTCAAGACTCACTCACTTACCAACATGGTTGCCAAGAGATCTTCTGACTCCGCACTTGCTGCACCTGCTCCGAAAGTCTCCCGCCGAATACAACCACAGCCAACAACCATGGCCGAGTTCATGGTTGACAACGTCGCAGATGGCGAAGTTGTGCACCAAGCATGCCTCCTTGTCACCGGCACCTGTCCCATGTTCGCCAACTCCAAGGACGACTATGTTTCAGTCGACTGTCGAGACTCGATGGGCTCTCGCTCGCAGATCAGTTTCCCCGTCGCTTATGGCAAATGGAAGGCGCTCGTCCTGCTTCAAAGCGGCATCAACGAACTCGAGTTCAAGCTTCATCATACTGGAGGTATCTCGTTCACCTCTCGCCTCGAAATCAACTATCAGCCACTCCTTCAAGTGCCACCGCTCCACCTCGCCATCATGCTTGCAAAGGACTCTCCATTGCTCATCGATTGTCCGCCCGCGAAATACGGCGCTCGCAGCTCCGCCCACTCCAGTCTCGATGCTGCAATCGCCAAGCTCCGCACGACGGCACTTATGTGGCAAGCACTGACCGCAGAAGACATGCGTCAGAAAGGTCTCGGCAGACGCTCATTCCGACTGGAAGAAGAATGGACATCTACCACTCTATCTTTGAGCAGCATTGCATCGAAAGGCGCGCAAGGTGTCCAGATGGGATCAGTCCCGAAGGTCCATATCATCCGCACCAACTACACTGTCGATGCGTTGAGAGATCAGAATATCGCTCAGCAGAATGCTCGAGGCGACCACCGCGAACACCTCCACAAGATCTTCACTGATGCCCTCAAAGCTCACGGTGGACCTTTCGACTCCAGCTGCCGTCCGGTCGTCGCAGGCCTGATCCTCGACTCGCACTACGACATTGAGCAAGACTTGATTCTGGGTCATGCTGCACTTGGATGTCACAACGCCAATGGCATCTCTCTTGGCATATTTGGCAGCCACACAACATACTCCTGGCCTCGAGCGATGGACGAGATCACATCTTGCCTCACAGATCCGATGGTCCCTGGTGACACTGTCGGCAATGACAACAACGAATGCAACACCATGGCTCAAGCATGCTTCGTAGGTCAGGGAGCATTCTTGCACGAAGTAGGACATGCATTTGGTGCTGATCACACCACCGGCATCATGGCTCGTGGTTACAGCGAATTCTGGGGCCATGCTTTCCTACCTGCCAACACGCCCGACCACCAAGCGAAGTGGGATCTACAGGATGCTCTTCGCTTCAAATGCAAGCCTCATTTCCGCCTCCCAGGTGACGAGCCTGTCACTGCAGCCTCCCTCGACGCCGGCATCACCATCGAGATAGACACCGACGAAAATGGCGCGGAAATCTTGAGGATCTACTCTTCAGCTGGTCTCGCGCTCGTCAGAATCACCAAGAACGGAGCTCCAACCGAGAACATCGTCCTCATGAACCCCTCATCATTCGGCATCTGCTCCGAATACCGCACCTCAACCCTCGACCTCATCAACCGCACCTTCCCCTTCGAAATCTCAGCCTTATCCCTAAACGGAAACCAAAAACTCATAAAAAACGCCTGGAACCTCTTCCTCTCCAAACCCTACATCAACATCCCCGGCACATCCCTCCGCCTCCGTAAACAAAGCATAAAATCCACAGCCATGGAAAGCGAAACCTACAACCCAGACGACCACCTCGAATGGTGCGTCCTCCTCCACAAACGCTCTTCCAACGGCCAAATCATCCGCGCCACTTCCATCGATCTCCGCGTCGGCTGTACCTTTGACGGCGCAGTACTCTACTACTCCGACGGCACACACGCCAACTGCGGTCCCCCTCCCCCTTACACCATCAACGGCGGCCACGCAAGTGAACACCACACCCTCCCGCAAACCTCCCGCATCACCAAAGTCGAAATCGGAGAGAATGGGGGTTGGGGAGGTCTTGATGGGATTCGAATGTATTTGGAGAATGGGGAGAGGTGGGGAGAGATCAATTGTAGGGATGAAGACATCCACGTTTTGAGGCCGGGGGAGGGTGAGAAGATTGTGGGCTTTTTTGGGACGTGTGGGAAGGTTGGGGGGGATTTTACGGTGGAGTTTGGGATTCTTACGAGGCCGGAGGAGGGGGAGGTGCCGGATTGCGTGTGGGATATGGAGGAGTTGCAGAATTTTGGGGCAGGTGGCGATGGGGAGAGTCGGAGTGAAGGTGGTGGGGAGAGTCAGAGTACTGTGTGGTAAACGGGGAATTGAGGCATATGGACTTTATGAACGCTAGCAAGAAAAAAAAACAGGCTGGGAAGGATAGTGAAGCGAAGAAACGAGCCTTGTATACAACAACCAGTCCAATCTGGGAGATGATCATCAGTATAGACCGAAAATAAAGCGCAGGCCACTTGGTGCTCTCAATTCCCTCGTCTCAATGCTTCCTACATCCCTCTATATCTCAAACTTCGCAGAACCTCTTCATCCGCGACCCAAACGTGCAGCTCTAATCTTCTCGTCTCGCACGTCACTCATCTATATAGACCCATACATAACCTGCCCTCAAAACACCTTATTCATAGCCTGATGCGCCAACTCCACCCCCAAAAACGTCGCAGCATTAGCCGGAACGGCCCTCGCCATCGCGGGTCCCAAACCCGGAAAAAACGCCCTCACACCCCCATTCCGATAAAGATTCCCCACACACTGCGCAATGCTCTCTTTCGTCTCCGCAGACTGTAATCTCGACTTCACCGTATCAACCGGGAACACAGCCGTCCACATCGCCACACCCGCCGCACCCCCGGCCGCCATGACCGCCGTCAAAGACAACTGTCCCGGCTTGCCCGTCACAGGATCTTTCGGCGTCAAATTCCGTTTCAGAATTTCATACGTCGCGAAATAAGCCGCGGAGCCGGGACCGTCGCGTGCTAATGTCATGAATGAACCGCGGTATACGGATTTGATCCCTCCGGTTTGGTAGAGTTGACGGACGACGTCCATGCCGCCGGAGTATTTTGGCTTTTCCCCCGGCGCGAGGGCTTTTTGGCCTTGGATTTGGAGGATGATCTTGACGCGTTCGAAGGGCGCGGTTATGGCTGTCATGGGGATGGCGGAGAAGAACCCGGCGAAACAGACTTGCGGGACGGTGTATTGGTTGTTTTCGACGACGGAGAAGGTGTTGACGAGTTGTTTTCCGACGCCGTAGGCCCAGAAGTTTACGGCGACTAGATGAGACACAGTACTTGTTAGAGAGTTCTTTTTTTTTGAGGAGATGGAGGGTGTGAGTGACTTACACATAGGCGTCACACCAACCAGCGGCGCAGAGACACCGGCATATAGCCCTCTCACCGGTCCTTCTCGTGCAATCGTCTTCCTCACCACATCCATAGCTCCCGTATAAACGCCTTTCTCCGCGGTCTGTAATCGCACTTTTACCAGATCGAAGGGATGTCCTACTACCACCGCACATACGCCTCCGACTCCTCCTGCTACGAAGTCGCGTAAGCTCTGGAAAGACTTCTTTGCCGTCTCTTCTGCCACGTCCTTGAGCTCTGCTGTTGATGTGGGGACTTTTTGCTTGACATCTTGGAGCGTTTGGTGTGCTTGGTTTTTGAGTTCGTTTGTTGAGGGAATTTGCTGTTTTAGGGGTTCTGTGTTGCCTTTTGCTGCTTCTTTGAGGGTTTCTGAGGTGGGCATGCTGGGCTGGACCAGCTAGGACTATGGACCGGACGTGTCGTGGCCTGGATCGCAGTTCGTGAAAGTCGGCTGGATGGGAGTGTGTCTCGTTCTGTGGAGGGGTTGGTGGTGAGTGAAGCGGAAATAGTGAGCCTGGTCAATCACATGTGGAAGTGAGAGTGTTCCTGTTTTATATGTATAGCAGATTCTAGCAGCGGAATATTGCATTGCATTGCATTGGCAACAGCTCTCACTCCCACTCGACCTCGGCTCAACAGAGTTCGCGGATGTGCGGTCCGGTCCGCCTCTTCTCCAGATCCCGATCAAAACTCGGGCGAGACATCTCCGGAAGCGACTTCATTCACGGTTCACCAATACAATTCAATATCGACTTACACGGGACAAAACAATCAGCCCTGCTTCGGCGTCTTGTGCTCAACGAGGGTGAGGATGTTTGGCTCTGGCCAAGCAGAGGAGGATGCGAGCATGGGTGGCACGACATACGTCCGCAGTAATGCGTGGTCAGCACGCATGAGCTGAGATATTCCCCTCACCCTGTAACACACAGGTCCAGCCGTCGAGTATTGAAAATACCACATCTGCGGTAGACGTCAGTCACGACATGTTGCCTCTCCTCCTCTCGGGCCTGCTTGTGGCCTTTGTGCTAAACATCATCTGCAAAAGGGCAAGCCTCGCAAGCAGGCGCAAGTTCTTCGAACAGAAACATGCATGTCAACCTCCAAAACACTACCTCGCCACACCATGGTGGGACCAGTATGGACTGAACCTCATGCGAAGCATGCTGGCTGCCGCCAAAAAGAGCCAGATTCTCGAATATGTCCACCTGCTGACCCAAATCCATGATCCTGAGAAACGGGGATTCGGGAACTTCGTCGCCGTCTCAAGATTTGGAACGAGAAAGACTGTCATCTCAAGCGACCCCGAGAACGTGAAGAGTGTGCTGACCCGCGCTGATGACTTTTTGGTGGAGCCGTCGAGATTGGCGGCATTTGAAGGCCTGCTAGGCAAGGGCATCTTCACATCAGATGGCGCTTTCTGGCAGCATTCGCGAGCTATGCTCAAGCCGCAGTTCGATAAGAGCCAAATCACGGAATTGGACCAGTTCGAACGACACATCTCCAAACTTCTGGCTCTGATTCCTGATGATGGAAGTACAATTGATCTGCAACCACTTTTCCATCGCCTCACTATGGACACCTCCACGGAATTTCTGACTGGCACCAGCGCTAACTCACTTGATGCAGACGAGGAAGCCTCTCAAGAGGCAAGGGACTTCGTCACAGCATTCGATCTGGCCATGGAGGCAGGGACCTTACACGCGCGGCTTGGAAAGCTCTACAACCTCTTCCCTCATCCCGCTGCTCGCCGCGCCAACGCCACATCACGAGCCTACATCCAGAAGTGGGTTGACCGTGCTTTGAAGAATCAAGCCGAGCGGGCAGAGAAAGCGAAGAAAGGCGAGCAGTATGTCTTCATCGACGAACTGGTCAAGCATGACGAAGTCGATCGCACCAGAGCCCTGAACGAGACCATGAATATCCTGCTAGCTGGACGAGACACAACCGCGACTTTGCTAACACACTTGTTCTTCAACCTTGCCAGAGAACCTGAAGTGTGGAGCAAATTGCTCGCCGAGATTGACGAGCTTAACGGTGAACTTCCATCCTACGAGAAGCTGAGAGATATGAAGTACCTCAGATACTGCACACAAGAAAGTAAGTCACACACACCCGCAAACCTCCTCTCAACAACCAAACCCTAACACCCCCCAGCCCTCCGCCTCCACCCCCCAGTCCCCATGCTCTCCAAAGCCGCCTCTCGCGACACAACCATCCCGCACGGCGGCGGCCCAGACGGCCTCCAACCCCTGTTCCTCGCCCAAGGCGACAATTTCTTCTACTCCACCTACGCCCTCCAACGAAGCGAAGCCATCTACGGCAAAGACGCAAACATCTTCCGACCGGAACGTTGGAGCGATGCGAATTTGCGCCCGTTCTGGGCATATATACCTTTCGGCGGCGGCCAGAGAGTGTGTTTGGGACAGCAGTATGCGCTTGCGGAGACGTATTATGTGACTGTGAGGATGATGCAGACGTTTCGGAAAATCGAGGATCGGGATGGGGGAGTGTGGGTTGAGAAGGTTGCGGCTACGTTGGGGAGTGGGAATGGGTGTTTGGTGGGGTTGTTGAGGGAGTGAAACAGAAGTATTTGTATTACTCTTTACGCCGTGAGCCAACCACTGCTTTGCTTGGAAAGCACACACACTCTCTCTCTCTTTCCATCATATCAACCCTCAGCTGGAGTCGGAGGGAGACCCAACAGCTCAGCTTCCTCTGAGTCAAGTGAGACAACCGGCTCATAGAATCATGCCTTGACATCCGCATACCTGTCAGACGGTCAGACTTCAGATCTCACATCCCCATTCACCCTATGAGATCGACCGCCTGGATCCGGAATTGGAAAACATCAATAATAGATCAGGGTATCTCATCATAACACAAACCTTACATCAAAACACCAACCTCCCAACCCCGCGCTCCCTCGCAGCATCCTGAACTCCCATCTCCGTCTTCCCCAACGCCTCTCTCCAAGCATCAATGACATCCTGCGAAAAATCCTCCGCCTCGTCAATCACCCAACCCAACCACTTCACCACCGAAACAGCCTTATCCAAATTTTTCTCATCAATAACCACAGCTTTCAAATACTTGATCAGAGCATCCACGTCATCATCATAAGGTCCCTCATCATTGAATTCTCGAATCCAAGCAGAGACTGCGTTTCGGAGTTCGGGTAATGTGCTCAGCTTTCGGCTGGTGAAGATGGGTTTGTCTGGTTTGGGGGGGAGGGTGAAGACTCTTCTGAAAGGAGTGGTGTCTTTTTGTTTAAGTTTCTTTCGGCGGTGCATGGACATGTCGATGCCTCCGGTGCGCTGGAGACGAGCTTGTCGCTGTTGTGCCAAGACTTCAGCACGCAGTTCTTCTGGTAGGGCGGCCAGGACTTCGGGGTCGAGTTCTTCGTCTACGCCGCCAGCAGCAGCACCAGCAGGTTTGAAAATGAAGTTTGACTGCGTTAATGTGTTATCGCTGTGCTGCAGGTTACGAAGCTTTCTTGATATCCCGCCACCTCTGGGTCTTCCACGACCACGTTTGACGGGAGGAGGGGGTGGCAGGATGCGTTTGGTCCGCGGTGATTGTGGTAGAAGAGGTTGCTCAACTCGTTTCGACACGGCTTGTGGTTGCTTATAGAAGCCAAGCACTTCATTGCGAACATCTTCTGGCAGAGCTTCGAGTATACTGGGATCGATCTGAGATTGTGGTGGCAGAGCTACGGCCGGTGACTGGGCTCGGGACGAATGGTTTGACTCGCGATGTTCAGCTACGTTTGGAGGCAGCGTTGGCTCTTCGGGCCTGGACTCCTCGTCCATGGATTGGATAGCAGCTGACGGCTTTGCTTGCCTAGCCAGCTTTGCTCTGATGTCTTCCGGCAGCTCTGCCAGTACACTTGGGTCTACTTGGGTTGGCAGCACAAACTGTGTGCCAAGGGTATTCAGCGGCTTCTTCGACGGTGTGCCGGGCTGCTCGACAGGTCTGAATGCTGCAGTCGGTTTGTTGGCTTCTGCGATTGCTGGCTTTTGAGGTGTGGTTGGATCATCTCGGATCGGGTCCTCGGTAGACATGGCGCGCTCGACGAGAGCCTTGGGTTTGGAAGGACCGGCGTTGAACTGCAGCCGCCTTTGACTGCTCTCATCGCCGCCTCCAGGCCCTGCTTTTATGGGTTCGAGCTTTTGCATTTGGATGCCAATGCCGCGCAGCTCGCCTGGCGAGATGCAAAAGGACTTCATCATTGCGGTGGTTTCTTTTGTTAGGACTGCGTGATCATTGGTGGCGATTCCAAGCTGCATGCTCTTGTTGAAGACATCACACTTGCCGTGACCTAGATGCTTGGGAGGATCAAGGGGCGCATCTGCTGCACGCTTCATGGCCTTCATGGTCAACTGCTTCCCTTTGACCCGTTCCTTCAACAGACGCTTGCTCAGCTCGCCGGACAGACCGTGCATAAACTCGTCCACTTGCTCCTGACTTTCGAATCGCACGCCCCAGTTGACTTCGGCAGAGACAGACTTTCGGATGACTTGATCGCCAACTTCAGTCTTGTCGATCCCGCGTGCGTACTCCCACAGCTTCTCGCCCGTCTTTGGTCCGAGCGTGTTGACCAGCCGCTCTTTTGACGTATCGCGAATGTCCTTGACAAGCTTGATGCCAATCTCTTCAAGCTTGCCACCGATACTGTATGCTACTCCTGGCAATTTGGTGACCTCAAGAGCACCCATGAAGTCAAGCACTTCCTCGGGTCGGAGCTGATATTGACCAGCTGGTTTTGCTTTTCGAAGCGCACACTTGGCCTGTAAGATATTGCCACCGATACCGACAGATACATTACATCCTGTCTTGGCAAGGACTTCCTCTCGCATGTCCTGGGCGACCGCATCCGCCTTCTTCTGCTCGCGATAAACAGCACCTTCATCTCGCTGAACGCCGTTCGAGCCACTTTCAGCAATGCAGATGGCGCTGATATCTACCAATGCCTCGTCGATGCTCACACTTTGCACAATACCGCCTGTGGCCATAATCACGTCGTAGAATTGCCGACTGGCCTCTTCGTAGCCAGGGAAGTCGTATGGCAACACCTTCAGCTCGGGACAAAGCTCCTGCGCTCGACGCATCCACATGCCATTACTGACACCAAATTTGCGAGCAGGGTAGTTGCAGCTGGCAATTTCTGATCCTGATCCGCCTCCGTGAGCGACCACTGCCGGCTTGTCCTTGTACTGTGGAAATTTCTTGAGCGATACCGCAGCGAAGAAGCTGTCAAAATCTACGTGCATGACATATCTTCTTTGGCCTGGCAACTTCTTCTGCCCAGCTTTCTGTGTGGAAGTCCTCTCTGCCGCCAAGGCCTGTAGCTGTGACTTGAGATCTGCTTTCCATGTTGATAAATGATGCAGACGAGATTCGCGATAATATTGCTCAAGAAAGTCAGGATGCACTACCGTTGACTTGCGAATTTTCGGGTCTGACAGGATGAGTGCGTTATGCTCCTCGGCTGTCATTTGTGCCAGCTTCGAGGGAGACACCGTCTTCCAGACATCAGACTGCGCTACGACTGCATGAGAGACATCTGGTTCCTGTGAAGCTTCTCTAGCACGAAGGACTGACGGCTTTTGAGCTGACTGTACAGATTCCTGGGGAATGTCGTCTCGAACTTGATCGGGCAGAGGCAAATCTGGATCGGTGGCTATGGCAGCACTGTCACTTGTTTCGACGGGTTCGACCGGTTGGTCCTTGACTGGAGCAGGAGGACTGCTCGGTGGCGGAGTCTGAGGTGCAGCAACCTCAGGCCGTTGAAGCGTGGTCCCCTCGACGGGCAACTCGCCAGCTTCGTACAATGCATTCTCCACGGAGCTCGGCAGATCATATTCGTCGTCTTCGATGTCCTCGATGTCTGGGGTCACGGTCTGCGTAAGCTTTGGAGGCTTCCTGGGAGGAAGCTGTGACGAAGAGGGCTGCTGCGAGCGAAATTGAGATGTATACCAGCTGGCATCAGTCTGCTCTCGATAGCCTGCCTGCTTCTTGCTGGCCTGGCTGACGACCTGGCCATTGTCAAATCCGATGACCTTTTGACCGACACCTTCGTCCACCACACGATAAGCATCCCATGGCAGCAATCTTCCAGCCTTGATGGAGTCCACGATCCAGGCAGGTTTGACGATTCTGTACCTTCGAAACTCTTCCTTCTTCTTGGGCGTCAGATTACTAGCAATGATGTGGGTAACCATGGTCTTGCCATCCAGATACTGAACAAAGCCGCCGCCGTGCTGCACGACCATGGTATGCAGATCATTGAGACTGGGCTGGGTGTAGCCATTCACATGGCAGACTAAGCCACGGAAGATCTGGGGCTTGTCGGCGCTCTGAGAGCGCAGCTCAGCATCCAAGTTCTGCAACTTGATCTTCTTGCGGCGGAAGTAGTCCGAGAAGCCGCCAAACTTGGACGGCTCATACTCCTCGCGCGTCTCATCGCCGGTGAACTGGTGGTTTTCGATGCTCTTCCTGACGCTGGCCGACTTCTTCTCCAGTCTCGAGCCCATATTCGCGTAGACGGCACATTATGGGCATTTGCTAGTCTGGCATGTGCGTGACGGTCGGCGTTGTGATTCCGAAATTGCGCGTTGCCACAGGTGAATGAGGTGAAGGGGAAGTGAAAGGCGGCGACGCGACGAAGATGACGTGCAGTGGTCAGTCTTAGCCGGGTCGGATATCGAGTCGGATATTCAGTCGGATAGACAAGCTGAATCAGGCTAGCTCGTCCTCCGAAATCTTGGCGTCGGCGTCGAGCTTTCGCAAAAAGTTCTGCCTTTTCCTCTTCCTGCACTGCCCAACCTCGGCGTCTCCCACCACCTTCAAGCTCGATACACTCGAGCCCAATCTCTCTACAGACCAACGAAGGTCGCACCCAGGAAATACCCAGCACATCTTTCACCTTACATCGCCATGTCCGCCATGGTGCCAATGGCCATGTTCGGCGTCGAAGTCCCACCTGGCGACGTCCTCACCGTCGGCAGCCTTGAGATCCCGTCCGCTTACCGTATCACCATGGCCGCCATCGATCCATCTGCTGAGCCAGAGGGCGAGGACGGCGCAGTCCCACGTGCGACTCTGAAAATCATTCGCCAGCCGCTCGGCCAGTACGATTCCGAAGACGATGAGGACGATGACGAGGACTTCGACATTGAACAGATGGAGGCCCTTCTTGGCGGCGGCGACGATTTCAGCGAGTCTGAAAGCGACGAGGAAGAAGTCAACGGTGGGCCCAGCGACCCAAAGAAGAGCAAGGCCGCCATGAAGGCTGCTGCCCAGAAGGAAATTCAGAAGCTGCTTGAGGAAGAGAGCGACATGGACGTCGACGATCTGCCAAACGGCGTCAACGGTTTCAAGAAATCCGCAAAGGCTTTGGGTAAAATGCCGGCCAGCGACGAGGATTCAGAAGAGTACGAGGATTCCGAGGATGACGACTTTGAAGAGTTTGTCATCTGCACTCTCGACCCAGCCAAAGTGAGCCCGTTCAATAAATGCTGAAAAACCTCATACTAATCTGCGCAGAACTGGCAACAACCACTCGATCTCACCATCGGCGAACGTGAGAACGTTCTGTTCAAGGTGTCTGGCACCCACAGCGTCTTCCTTACCGGCAACTATGTTGAGCCTACCCACAGCCATGACGACCCAGGCATGTATGACCCCGACAGTGACGAAGAGGGCGACTACGACCTCGAGCCAGACAGTGACGAGCTTGACGAGGAGGACGAGGAGGACGAACTTGATGACATGGAGGACCCACGCATCACTGAGGTCGACGACGAGAACTCGGAAGAAGAGGCACCAAAGCTTGTCGAGGCGAAGAAGGACAAGAAGGGAAAGAACAAGCGCCCAGCCGAGGAGGAGGTTGCCGATGGCTCCACCATCGATGACCTGATTGCCAAGGAAGCCCGAAAGGAAGAGAAGCTTTCCAAAAAGCAGCAAAAGAAGCTCAAGAAGAACGACGGATCAGCCACTGCTGCTCCCGAACCTGAGGCTCCTTCGTCCACCAAGTCGGACAAGAAGGTTCAGTTCGCCAAGGAGCTCGAGCAAGGTCCAACACCCACCAAGGACTCCAAGAAAGAAGCTAAGGCTGGTGGCATCAAGAAGGTCCAAGGCGTGACCATCGACGACCGAAAGGTCGGTACTGGCCCAGCAGCCAAGTCTGGTGACCGTGTCAGCATGCGCTACATTGGCAAGCTCGAGAAGGACGGCAAGGTCTTCGACTCCAACAAGACGGGCAAGCCATTTTCCTTCAAGCTCGGCTCGGGCGAAGTCATCAAGGGCTGGGATATCGGTATCGCTGGCATGAGCGCCGGTGGTGAGCGAAGAATCACCATCCCAGCCAACCACGGCTACGGTTCCAAGGGTGCACCACCCCAGATCCCAGGCAACGCGACTCTTGTCTTCGACGTCAAGCTGCTTGAGATCAACAAGAAGTAAACGAGTGGACCGACTCTGTACACCTTACGGCTGCTGTTGCTCTACGCGAGTTTTCGCATCGGTCAGCCTACTCCCAGACCCAAGTGCTGGAGGGAAGGACGGCTCGGCCTGGACATGCGAGATCTTGATACATTTCCCTTTTTCTTTTCTGCTTTTAGTGACTGATGATACCCGACTTGCATTGCATGTTCTTTTGCTCGCAGCATTTTGCATGCAGGAATGATGGGTTTCTTCAGATGTTTGTTGGTGGGTGTGTGTAAAAGTATCGATCGATGTTTGGGAGCAAAGCACGACGGGGAATGGACGGCGTTCTGGAGATATGCTAGTTTGTGGTTATCTGTAGTATGCGAATGGACATTGCTTGTTGAAAATGTCTGTTTGGTTTTATACTACTGCGTTGACGAAATTTTTCCAAAATCATAAAAAAAAAAGAAATTGAGAGACATGGTGGGAGGGACTGCAAAGTGCACACGACGCAAGCCATGCCTGCCCAGAGGCTTCGTTCTTCTCTTTTGACAAGCACAATGCCACAGTTCCTGGTCTGAAATCATCACCTAACAAAAAGTACTCTTGAGCCAACCGTATTTGCATTCGCGATCTCTTCGTTCTGGAGTCGGAGTCCGTAACGCAAATGTATGTTGCTCACTCAATATATGTTCGTACTGCCGCTAAAAAAGAAGAGAGAGAGAGAGAGAGAGAGAGAGAGAGGGTGACGAGAAGTTATGAGGAATTTTCTTGATCACATGTGTTGTTATAGTGATATGATTCTTTCGGGTTATACATATCGCTAACATGGCTAGTGCAACCGAGGGCTCAGATGAGGTGATCAGGAGGAGGAAAAGGAAAGAAGGGTATAGATTACGAACGCTGATGTTTAACCTTGATACATGTCTGTGATCTCGTCCTACGAAACTTGCGGAGCGGATGAGAGGAAGAAGAGTCGTGCTGGTGCTACTGGCTGCAGGTCGAGAGAAAACACCAATTCAATTCCGCACTGACGATTCGAGACTCGAGAAATTTACGAAAAACCCCACCGAACTACAACCAAGCGAGAGTGCATCCATTCCATTCCATCCTATCTCTCATCACCAACCATATTACCTCCCAAATTCCCAACCCCTTCCAAGTTCCATCCATCCTTGCCTCGCCCTGCCTCGCCTGTCGCACTCGTCCCATCACCCCGATTTCCCCCCAACTTCTAACACTGGTAAGCCTGACCGCGATTATTATAACAAACACCAGTCTGTCCATATCCATATCCAGAGTATCCATACTGGCCATTATTGTAACCATTGTAGTAGCTGTTGTAGTACGGAGAATACTGCCCGCCATTGCCGGAATTGTAGTTGTAGCTGTACGGGTAATACTGACCATTGTACTGACCATAACCTAGAAGTGAAGTGAAGCGTTAGTAAGTAAGAAGTGATTTTTGAATGGAAGGAAAAGAGGAGGGTCAGAAGCGTGGGGGGATGGATACGAGGAATACTGACCGGTGGAAGCGTAGTATTGGCCGTTGTTGTACTGGCCGTTGTTGTAATATGGGTACGTCTGGCCTTGGCCCCATTGTTGAGCTGGGCCCCATTGCTGCCAGCCTTGGGGCTTGTTGTCGTTTACGCCCTTGTTGTCTTTGGCGTTGTCTTTGGCTTGCTGCTGTTGATCAGCTCGGGGTTGGAGTTGGGGTTCGTCCAGTGGCTTGAGATTCGTTAGTTTCGCAGTCCTGCGATGCAGTAGTAGTGTGAAGCTTACACCTGGGAATGCGCCTGGAATTGGCTCGGGGATCGCGAGGGCTCCAGTGAGTGCCAGGGAGGCAATGGTGGCGGCGATGAGTTTGAGTTGCATTGTGAAGGATGGATGTCAACTTGTTCGGAGATTTTCGTTGGACTTCTGCGGGTGAGGGAGTTGTTGAGGTGCTCGGTGAAGCTGCTTGTGTTGCTGCTTGTTCCATTACTGTGTACTCGAACTTCGCTCTTATACCATTGGATTTCTCGGCTCTCCGAATCTTCGCAGCTTTGGGGCGGCTCAAGCCAAGCTAGCTTACGTCGCTCTCTGTATGCAGGAGCGCGTTTCAGATGAGGAGGCTCTTGCTGCATAGAAATCTGACGCGTATGCGCAAGACTTGTGAGGCAGCCTGATATCGATAGCGGATAGCCATTTGAGACTTGTGTCGTAGTTCTGGGGAGCCGAAATTTTTGTTCTTCGACTTGCGAAGGACATGCCAGCGCCTGCAGATTTTTGTTTCGTAATCGATGCGTTTCAAGTCAGCTGCAACAACCCAGGTTCTGTCTCGTGAGGAAAGCCATCATGCGGCTTGAACCGCACTGCAAGATGTGCAGTGCATAGGAAGTCCAGTCCTTCTTGCGGCAAAATCATTTACAGGTAGGTATCAGCACAGAGTCCATTAGTCGCGTGTCGAGCACTAGTAGAGACCTGAGTCCGCGGTACGAGAGGTAGCCAATTCTTCAGAAACCTTGCATTCAACACCTTCGATGTAGAAAGAGAGCCGTGTGTACTGAACTGGGGAGCAATACGTGTGATCAGAAGCATAACCGTGAGAGATTCCGCGTGGATGAGACTTGACATAGCATCCCGAGCCTCCACGCACAGTTCCAGGATTATTGTATAGAATTTCCGTGCCAACGCAACGACGTTGGAGGAGCATGTGGTGGAGATCCGAAGGCGTCGGGGCTTTCGACAGATGGTGACATGCAACGGGTCCCGAATGACGAATGCTTGAGTAAGTGCGTGAGTGGAACTGGTGGAGGTTCTACGAAGTGTCATTGAGAGTTTTTGCTCGGACCGGATAGAACTATTGATCCCAGACATCAGTCATGTGATATATACATATGGAGGCACTGGGCGACACCATACACCCCAGAGCTTCTGCAACTATCGTCACTCGTGCTTTGCTTTGCATCCTCCCCATCTTTGTAACAGTGACACCGTCTTTGCCCATTCCGAATAGTCCACGCAAGACTCATTCCCTTGACCTCGTGTCTCGCCATCGTGGAATCGTTCCTCATGCTTCGGCTCCGCAGGGACCATGCAGTCTGGACAGGTTTGAAACATCAACATCACCGGCCTATGCACTTCGGGCTTTGACATCGGGACACGACACTGCAAAATCTTCGAACATTCGACCCGTCTTACCCATCATCAGGGTCGAAGCTCTCCGCCCCAAACATTCTGGCCAAAGCAGTTCGGCAAGACTCTCTCTCCGCCACGAGTGGGGAAACTTCCACGCCTTGGCCGTGACGTTGAATGTGGAATGGGAGCTGTCCTACGTATATCCACTCGAGCGACGGGATATGCTCCGCATACGCTTCGACCTCATTCATCATTGCATTGCGGTGAGAGAGTTCGAATTTCTCCACTGTAACAGGTCAGTGTCGTTTCAGCATGGGCATTCAGCTGGACATTTCTCACCATGCGAAAGTTCCCAGTAAGGTTTTCGCCAATCTTCTGACTGGTCGCCGTCTGAGGGTTGGTTGTGATCAGTGTCATCATGTTCTGATACACCAACGAGGCTTGCATCCTCGTCGGCAGCAGGGCGGCCACTTGCTGAGTCATCTGATCGCTCGTCGCTCTGATGGTCGTTCTCTGGCCCGCCAGCATCTCCCGCCTCGCTTTCGTCCTCAGGATCACTCTCGTCGGCTACCTGTTCTCCTCTCTGCCTGCGCTCTTCGCGCTCGCGCTCGCGCTCCTTCTCTGCCCGCCGCGCATCACGAGACCGAGCTGCGTCAAACAATCCAATCTTTCGATCAAGTTCCGCGCGCTCCCACAGATCCACATCATCTCTGGCCGACTGCAAGACGTAGTAGTCCTCGTGATGGCCTGCTGACAAGACCTCATAGCCATCGCGGCACAGTGCAAGCCGTCGAAGGTTGGTCAAACGACTCAGATGCTCGCGAAGCTCTTCGTGGTCAATCAGCCATTGTGTACGAGAGCCATATTCGATGCCTACTGTAAGCCAAAGCTGCTCCAGCGAAGAAATTGTAGCTATGGCAGCAAGGCTTTGTGCAGAAATTGTGCCATTGTGCGGCCTAGTCTCATCATCCGTCCCAGGTCCTTCGTAGTTTAAAGCCAACGATTTCAGGTTGGTAAAGTTTCCAGTGGCGAGAGTTGGAATAATCTCATCATCTAGCAGAGTATCCGGCGTCGGACCGATTCTTAGTTTCTTGATGTGATTGTTGATCATGAGAAATTTTGCGACTGATTTTGCCTCATCCTCTTCGGATATTGTGAAAATAGACAGCGTCTGTAGTGTAGGACGGCATTCGGGTGTCAGATTGAAGCTACTGCGCCGCGGAATAAATCCAATCTGCAACTCGCGAAGAGGAGCACACAAGATCGCAGAGACCGTTTCAGGTGCCAGGTTGGTTCCACAATGAAAGGAGCGCAAGCACGGGAAATCTGGCCATGCGCCCGATACGGTGCTTCCTGCTGGATCCATGAAGTCTTGATAGTCCAACTTGAGCGATTCAAGTGAGGACGAACAAAGCTTGAGCAGCGCAGTCAAGAACTCCGAGAACTGCTCCGCGTTCCGATTTGAGTTATAAAGTGTCGTCTGTGATTCACCATCAGAATCATCTTCATCGTCAGGCTTCCATGCTGGGCTGACTTCCAGATGAAGAGATTTCAGAGGCCATTTTGGCCAGGCCCAATTCTCCTTCAGATGCAGAGTAATGGGCAAGCGCAGCGGCACACGATACAACTTCAGATGCTTGGCATGTGACAATCTGACAAAATCGAAGAAGTGCTGTCCTATAGAATATCGCTCCTTCCAGATGATGGTGTCGAGATTAGGCATGGCCGTTGGTAGCAACAACATGATGTTATCGCGATAGTCCTCATAGAGGAGCCTTGCCTGATCCCTTAAAGTCTTGACGAGATCAACATGTTCCTTCTGGCGAGCCTTATGTGATCCACTTCCGAAGACTTCATTATAGAGGTTGCGGTGTCGCATAGCAACCGCATATCTCGATGAAGCGTATGTAACCCGTCGAATGCAAGCTCCAATGTTCGGCTTCTTCTCTTCACTATTTCCACCCTTTCGATCGACAAGTTCTTTGTTCAGCTGAGCAACCAATCTACGGGCGCGGGCACTGTAGTCGAAAGCGACCTCGGCGAACTGAGCCGTGCGAGCGAGTTGTCTGCACTCGATATTGACTTGAGCGAAATTTGCAAGCGAACTCTTGTCGTTGGCCAGCAACTCGACGATGTCTGCTAGGATCTCTGAAGGGAGTTGGAGGAGCCGACTTGTACAAGTGCGAGACCTCGCCATGGTTTTGTCGAGAAGAAGGACGGATCGCTCGCCGACTTCTTTGCCGTACTCGTTACGTCCGCCGGCACCTAAGGTGGTCATCATGAGAATCATTACATCGTCGTCCATGACGGCAAAGCCTCGAGGTGAACAGCTCCCGGAGTGAGCTGTACTGCGAAGAAGGAAATGAGGAAGGTAAAGAGTGTGTTTGTTTACAAGCTCGGAAGGTGTCTAAAGAGTTGCTAAGAGATGGCCAAGTGATGAGCGCTTGCTATCATTTATTAGACAGTGCATTCAGCTTCAATATTCCACATCCCTTCGAAGGTGTAGGTAGAGAGGGGGTCAAGGGGTGTGTAAATAGAGAAGCTGATTACTAGAAATAGAAGGCTTCTGGCCCTGGCGCACGGCACCCAGCCACTTCCGTAGACCACTTTATATACGAATAACTCTATAAGTATAGACCCGATTAATAAGGCGATTAACAGTCTAAATAGCTAGGACAATCCTAATATCGCTACTACTACTACTAGGACTAATAAGGTAAACTACTATATACTTTCTAAGCGCTAGAAAGGTATCTAGAGTAGCAAATAGGCCTAATACGAAGACAAGCGATTACTAAGCAATCCATAAGAGGCTAAGTTAGTCTAATATATTAATAAGTTAACTAACTTAGGCCTACTACCGACTACTTAAATAATACGGAATTTTACTAGGTAGGTTTATAGTTAGGAGCCTAATAAGAACTAGCCTACTAAGTTTACTAAAAGGCACTTAGATATATTGTCTTCTAAGTACCTTAGTAACCTAGATAAGGCTCGGAAGAAGGCTAATTTATAGTCCTCGTATACTAACTACTTTACTAGGTAAGAAGTAAAAATAAAGAAATATAAAATTAAGTCTAAGAATATATATAATATAGATAAAAAGGGATTTATAATAGATATACTTAGTAAAGCTAGAAGGATCTTTATAAACTAGGCATTATTAAGTAGCTAGCTAAAGGGATATATCTAGGATAGTAACTTCAAATAGAATCTATAAAGCGTTTAAAAGAAAACCGTACGGCTCCTATATAACCGTCCGGTATATAAACGAGAATAACAAATTCGGATTTATAGAAATATAACTATATACTAGATAGATAAACCTTAAAAAGCTATTCTACCGTCTACGTAATAATAAGAAGAAAATATATCTCTATATATAGTACTCGCTAATATAGATGCTATAGGCTATATTTACTATATAATAAGGCTAGTTATCCGGTAAACCTTAATTTTTACAAAGATTTATAGCCCTTAAGGGCAAGGCAATAGTAATAACTCCTATTACTAATATTTAAATACTTTAAGGGCCGAGATATAGGCCTATATAAGGGCCTCGCTATTTCGAATATCGGAATATATAGATTTTTACTATTACCTTACCTTTAAGGGTACTAGTAAACTGTAAACGCTAAGACTTTTATCGTAATCTACGTTTCCTTAGAGTAGTTAGAACGCGATAAATTATAATAACGCCCTATCGCGTACTATCTTAGGCCTAGAGGTCCTTACTAGAGGCGCTAGGAAGGGCCTTAGTACCTTTATATTACTATACTACTACAGGGATATTAAGCTATAGCCTTAGAGTGTAGATAGCTATATTCTACCTACTAGTTTTATATAGGTTTATATTAGGCTCGTAGGCGAAGAATTAGGTAGAGTGCTCGTAATTAGTTGTCGGTAAGTTTAGAAGCTAGCCCTATTCTAATTACTAATATATTACGTATACTCGGTCGTAATATAATCCCTATTTATTACATTTACGCAACTTAATTCTTTATGCCTACGAGCCTGAATGGAGGTAGTAGCTACCACTCCGGCTGCTTTCGACACTTCAATTCTATCTTTTCTCCCTTCAGCCTATCGATATCATTCGCAGCAATATCTGTCATCGGAGACAGGCTCTTGACATGCCGGAACAATCCGACGCGCTGGCTCCGCCTAGACTGCGCGATGGAGCAGCAACGCGTCCGTGAAATACTTCCGGCCTATACCCTTCGGACTTCATCCCTCAAAATGCCACAGTAGTCCTGTTGGCACCGGGAAACTTCTGCTGCAATCCGCTCAACTAGTCTTCTCCCCCTTCTGTCAACGCGTCCCACGAAGGACAACTCAGGCTCAAGATTGGCGCTGCCAGAGCGTCAAGAATGAGCGTTCAAGGCTTGGTCAGCGTGGCGAAGATGTTGTTCGTGTACGACGGCGCGGCGAGCTTGACAATTTGAAGCGCGAAGCACAGCAGATTATTGCCCTCCAGCAGATTCGAGAGATTGAGTAGTCCACCCACTGGGTCTGACAGGTCTACGCCAGCGAAGGAATTGACACGTCCCAAATTGCCCCCAATACTGGCCAGCTGGGGATACTGCAACGTCCACGACACGAGATCGAGATTGAGTTGGACCAATCCCCAGTCCAGAGGCACTTTGTAGAAATTTTGAGGTATCCTTTCCCAGCCTTTTTGATACGTGAAATTGGAGCCCCTGCCAGTCACGCCAAAGAAGCTCTTCAAATTCTCATGAGTGAGCTGGCCCTCCGGATACTCAGTCGAATGGTTGGCAAAGAGACGAAGGGCGAAGAGGTATCCGGCATTCCTGGCAATAAATCCTGTCAAGGGCCCGTAGTCGAAATTTGGATTTGTCGCTATTGACTCGTCCATCCTTCTGGCGGCGTATGTGGCCATGACCTCTGACGTGAAAGTCTGGCCCCTCTGGAAGCATCGAATACAAGTTCTCGAACTTGGTCAAGTTCATCGTCCAAGCATCGCCGGTCACGTAAAGATCATCGCGTGTCGGAGAGGAGTCCGATTCGATGAAGTTGTGCGAATAGTCGAGCCCTCGAGGCGTGCCAAGAATTCCCAGAACACCGCCGAGCAAGTTCTGTACAGCCGTGTTGTTGGAGCCAATCGATAATGATGGATTGAGCGAAAGGGGTGCTCCAGCCCACACAACGCCCATTACTGCAAGAATCGTGGCTAGTTCAATGCCCATTCCGTATACCTTGTTGATCGCTGCAACGGCTTCGGCGAGAGAAACAATGCCATCTCTCGAGATGTACCCGTGATTGGCGAGCGCGTTGAGTCCTGAGACGTAGTCAGCAAACCTTTGCACCCAAAACTTCGACGCGCATCTTCTACCTGGGCAAGGGCCTCTTTGATCGCCTTCTTTCGGGGGCTGGTAGGCATGCCTTCCAGTTACGTCGACGGGCGTATCGAGAGAGTTGATCAGGAATCGTTCGTGTAGGCTGTGCGCTGCATGGTGTCGATCTGTCCGATCAGAATGGCGATGTGCATGAGCTAGTGGTGTTGTTCCAAGACAAAGGAACCCGAGCAAAAGTGATGCAGGCATATTTGCAATGCTGCTCAACTCCTGTAAGTGTAGACATCTTCGTTTTTACCCAGTGAGATGCCCTGATAGGTGCTTTGTCACTGGCGTTCCGCGTGTACGGTTGAATCACGGCATCATTGACGCTGGTACCTTTCCGACAACCAAGATCCTGGCTTCGCGGCTCCGGTCCGTGAACAGTGCTCGCCTTATACACGCTATACACGCTGTACACGCGAACGGGAGCCGATGCGTGGGATTCGGACCAGGTGTCGGCAACAGCTTCTTCAGCGATGTGGGTATGCTCGTGCTAAGATGCTGACTGCCTCATCTCAGCCGTAGTGCCTCCGGATAGACGATAGACAGGCACACGCAGAAAGGAAGAGAATGCTACCCTCACAGCCAAAGTCACCTTGTGCGCAGCTCAAAATTGTACCATCAAACAGCAACTCAGTAAGCGCCTCCTCTTCTTTCACAGTCAAAGGCAACCATCAGCTTACGCATCCCAGCCACCAACAACACGACAGATACAATATGCTCCAGACCAGCACGCGATCAAACTCACATCGTCTCTTATGCGGGAGTCATTGGATGTGCTATCGCGCTGATCGTATATCTTATTAGAATGATCTCAAAAGTCTCATTTCCATGCTACGAGGAGATGCGTATATATAATCAACTCTGGTGGGATAACGCCGTCATTATATTCGCAATGGCCGAGATCATCGGCGTGAGCAGTCTCAGTATCGTGCTCGCTAACTTAGGCCTGGGCAAGGACGTCTGGACCCTACCATTCGGAAACATCTACAAGATCCTAAAGATCTACTACGTCGACGAGGACTTCTACCTGACAGCTCTCCCGCTTGTCAAAATCTCCATGTGTCTGAAGTATCTGAGGATTTTCCAGAACCCGAAGTTCAAGAAAGCGACTTGGATCGTCATTGCGCTCAATGCTGCCTACGGACTCGCTTTTCTTCTTATCTCTCTCTTTCAATGCCGACCGATGAGCTGCGCTTGGACTCATTGGGATTTGGAGCACGATTGCCATTGCAACAATATCAATGCCCAAGGCTGGACGTCAGCAGCTTTCAACATGATTGTGGGTGAAAGCGCTCCAAGACGCGTGCAGACCTTTGCTGACAGTGCTCCTCTCTATAGCTTGATGCACACACCCTAGGACTCCCTCTCCCGATGCTGTGGAAGATGAACCTGAACAAAAGAAAGAAATTCCTCGTCATGCTCATGTTCAGTCTCGGCTTCTTCGTCACAATCGTCAGCATCCTCCGTCTCCAAGTCCTGATCGAATTCGGGAATTCTCGAAACCTGACCTGGGACTACCGAGCAGTCGGATACTGGAGCACAATCGAACTCCACGCCGCAGTCGTCTGCGCTTGCATGCCTGCAATCCGCAACTTCATCCGACGCTTCCATCCCAGACTCATGGGCTCTACGGCAGAGGCATCCGCACATATGAATCAGTCTGCTTTGTCCGGACCGACAGCTGTGAATAGTGGGATGGATAAGAGCGAACCAGACATTGTGGTGCGGAGGAGAGACATCGAAGAGGTCAACTTCATCCCATTGCAAGATGTGCGGACTACCAGTGAACCGCGGACTGCGAGCGTTCCTGTACACAGACACTGGCCTACGGATCAGAAGAGGAAACTTTTGGGGTCACGCCGGCGTCGTCTTTGGATCGATGATGATGCAGGCTCGGAGTTGGTCTTCACGTTCACATTTTTCTACTACAAATACCCCAAGCTTCTTCGAGCGTGTCTCGTTTACAGGCATCTGTGATGCTCTAGAATTTCATAATACAGCATGATTCTTTAGTAAGTAGAAACAGGCAAACAAACTAGACTACTCTTGGACCTTTTAAATAGGGCAAATACGGCTTTTTCTTAGTATTTAGTAGCTAGCTTTATAGCGCTCTTAATAGCGGCCTTGTAATCTACTAGGTTTAGTTATTTAATTAAGCGGCTATATATAATCTTATTAAGCGGCTTCGTAAAGCTATTAGTAATCTAGTCGTATATACTAACCTATTCGACGATAGTAGAACTATTAGTAATCTTCTTTCGAATATAGTAGATACGAGTATCTATATACTTCGTATAGCTATTAATACTAGTCGACTTAGTAATAGTAATAGCGGCCTAATTGTCCTTATAGAGCGTAACTAGAAGAATATAGTCCTTATAGGCTCCGACGGTACTTTCTTCGGCTTTAGCGCTATTATAAGGTAATATAGTAGTAAGAGGTTACTAGTAACGTAGACTATAGCAACGGTATATACTATCTCTAGTAGTAGATCGCTTATAAGGGCTATTTTCGAAGCAGTATAAGGATAACTATGCTCTATCTTATTACTAGCTCTTACGTTCTTTATCCTAGTCGTATTTTCGTTTAGGAGTGTTGCTAGACTAAGGACTAACATCTAATATTGCAAAAGATAGAGGCGATTGTCTAAAGATTTTAGTATACTACTCTTCTAGGCTGTAGCTACTAAAGTTTGCTAATAGAGTCCCGATATAGTAGTATAACCTATTCCGGATTAGAATAGCCTTAGCTAAGGTAACGATTAGGGTTAAGAAGGAGGGTATTCTTAGTACGACGGCTTGCCTAATTAGTTAACTAGATAGACAGGGGTTGACTCTAATATTAATACGTGTTGCTAGCACTATAGGCCTATATATAGTCGCTGTTTTAACGACGTTACTGTCGCTATATTAACTCTGCCTCTTATTGCTATCGCTATATTATCTCTACCTCTTGTTACTATCGCTATATTATCTCTGCCTCTTATTGCTATCGCTATATCGATTAGAAGTCCTTCTCTTGCCCTTTATCTTACGTATCGCGTCGTCGTTGTCTATCTAGTCGTATTAGGAAGCTACTAATGCCTCTAATCTAAGGTCTATAACTCGTAACGGCCGCTAAGGCGTTATAAGGTCGACAAAGGACGTATTCCTAGGCGTGTCGCCTATTAAATCTACCTCTTTAACTAAGTCGATATCTATAGGCTATACCGACTGTATATCTAGTAGCGACTCGCGACGTAGCGGCTCGAAGTAAGGGCGCGTAGGTAACGATAATAGAGCCTAATTAACACGCTGTTATTGTCGCTATCGCGGCGGCCGCGCTATAGCTAGCGCTCGGAAGGTTGTTATTATTATCGACCGAGTTAGAGTCGTCGGCTACGCTAGAAGGTATAAGGTCTACTAGCGCGGCCGCTTACTTGTAAAGGTAACCTTAGGGGCGCCGCTCTCGTAGTAATTAGTAATTAAGTAGTTAGTAAGGCTATATAGCGTATCCTTAACCTTACGAAGGAAGCCGCGTATATAGCTATCGCGTACTACTAGATTAACGGTCTTATCGTCGCGAATACGATAGAAGTGTTAAGATAGGCCCTCGGCGGCCTCGTTATAGTACGACCTTAAATTACGAAGATATAGGTCTCCTATAGTCTATAGCTTCCGTATATCTTCGTAGCCTTCTAGCTATAACTAATCGCTGTCTCGCTACTTCTAATATAGGCTTATCTTTATAGAATTAAAGCTAGTATACTAATTAACGTATACCTATTATTGCTAGAGTGTTAATAGCGTAACAAACAGGTAGAACCTAAGGATATAGTAATAAGGTAAGTAGGTTTGAAACTACGGAAGGCAGTTATAGTAAGCTAGAGCCGGCTCCTATCTATTGTATAGCATAAGGCTATAGTAAGTCGGTAGGCCCTTTGCCTTATACTCTTCTACGATTAATAGCTGCTTTCTAACAAGGTCCTAAGCCGCTAGAGGTTGAAGCCGCTCGAAGAATAGCATCTCTTTAACCTTCTAGAAGTTAGTAGATTTTCTAACTCGGTATAGTTAAAGGTCTACCTTCTATAACAATCGAGCGTCGATTATTATTAGCTCGACTATAGTGCTATATATAGACAGCTAGACTATCTCTTTCCTCTTATCGTATTTAATAGCGTTATAATAGCCTTCGAGAGGCGATATTATCCGGACCTGTATTAAAAGAGGGCTTCCTAGCCGTGCCTAAGTCGCCTATAGATACGACTTCTTACGCTAGTTATTAAGGAGGTATTGCACCTGTTTATCCGAGGCGTATTTGTCTCTTAATTCCTATACGATTCTATCGATAGTATCGATAACTTCTACGTCGCTACGGGCGTAGTAAATCGCATAGGAAAACAGCCGCTAGGCCTGTAGATGCTGCTTCTCGGGGAAGTGTCGTAGGAAGGTCTCTTTAGCGTATCGTTAATAGAGATATATAGTTATAGCCTCCTCTTTAAATGCTAGTCGAATAGCGCGTTGTTCTTAAGCCTAGTCGTTAGTTATAGCTACTATAGGCTTCTAGCCGGGTGCCTATTTCTTTAATACTTAAAGCCTAGCCTTAATTAGCTTTACTCGCTAGCTTTGTAGCAATATATGCCCCCCTAGTATCTAGGAGCCGAAGGCATTACGGATATAGACTATAAATAGGTAGAAGTTATTATTAGACGTTTTGTAGGTCGCATCGAAGAGAAATAACTATATATAGACGGTTAGTCGTTGCTATCGAAATTTGTATATTAGGAAGAAAGCCGGAAAGCTAATACCTAAGGTACTACTAGCTCCGAAGAAATAGGAACCTATATTACTAGCAATACTACTATTTAGTAACTTACGCTACTAGTCGGCCTACTATACAATACCCTTATGCTAGAATACCTCTATACGGACAGAGAGAGCCTTATAGGAAAGTCCTACGCCTATAATATCGTCTATAAGAGGGCCGAGATAACGATTAAGGTTGTCTAGCTATAATCGAATATTGCCCTTCTTAGTTAGGGATACCCTCTTTATATTCTTCTTTATAGAGTACTTTATAATACCTTTCTTTATACGGTGCGCTCTAATAATAGCAAGACGACCTATATTAGTACCCTCCTTTAGTAGGTAGAATATATAAGCCGTTTTATAGTTATACTAATCTATTAGGTATTTAATAATAACCCGGAGGCTATTACTAGAAGCCCTTACATCCTATAGCTAGTCTAGTTAGCTTCGTAATACGACTTAATCTACTACATTAACCTTACTATATAGTCTATCGTATAACTATAGATATTGTTATTACTATACGCCGAATCGCGGCCTCCTCGAGCGATCTTATAGCTATAAGGCTCCTTATCCGCCTTCCGATCGAATACCGCGATTATAGCTATCGACGTATCGTATAGGTCCTTATAAAACTCTACTTTATAGATACTAATACCTAGCTCTCGATTGCGATTAAAGTTACGCCGACAACGATAGTAGTATATCGTCCGCTATAATAACCTATCCTTATAACGAGCGCCCTCGTATTTCTCCTAGAAGTTAGTTATAAAAGGCTATACCTATTTAAACTATTCCTTCGGTATAAAGGAGCCTTAGGTTAACGGACTAAATAGCGAATAGCGCAGTTAATAGGTTATAGAAATAGGGATAAGATAGGCTATATTAAAGGGCTAGAGTTAATAAATATTGCTATTAATAAGTATTATAGGACACTCGTAATAACGCCTATAACACCTCCTATTATATAGAAAATAGGCCCTATACTATTAGGTTTCGACGATATAAAGTTAAGGACCCTAGCGTCTACGGAATGCCTATTTTGGCTGGCAATATGAACACTTCTCAGATCCGGTTATCTACGAAGGAATGCCTCGGAAATTATATATAGGGCTAATCGGCCGGGCACTAAAATCTTCTGACAACTGCTTAAAATCATTGCAAAGCGAGTGAAAGGAGAGGGCAGAAAGGTTTTGCCGGCGCACCGCAAACGCGACTGCCGAGCGCCAGCTTGTGCTGATCTGAGACACCAACACACTGCTGTCTTCTCAACTCTACATTATTACCATCTTTCGACCGCAGATGAAGCCATAGCGCAGGATGTCTTCGCGCTGAAGGACGATGAGCTCCACGCAAGGCACGAGCATACAGTGGAAGCCGCAGACTCCGAAGTCCGAAGCATACACCAAGACAAATCGCCAGGTCCATGTAATCTACTCAGCTATCGCGCTACGCTTTGGGATGAACGATAACAGGGTCCACGACTTTATGCGCATTCGGCTGCGGGCGAGCGTTGAGCAAGAAGAAAAAAACAACTCCAAGGACTAGAGCCGCTCCGACAACGCCTCCGACGACGCCTCCTGCGATGGCACCGATCCTGGGATGAGACTTCGCTCCTGGAACAGTCGAATCCTTGACCTGCGTCTCGTTAGACCGGGATTTCCAAAAGGGCTCCTCACAACTTACCCGAGAGATCTTGAAGCCGCCTGGCATCATATACTGGAAGACTCCTTCTGGGTCATATATCTGTGCTGCCGCTCGGATCTTGTGGACATTGTCCAAGCCATATCCTTCCAGAGGCTGCTGCTCTTTGTCTGCATAATTCAGATACAACCACTCGTTGTCTGCTTTGATGCTCTTCGCGTACGAAGATATGGTGTCCCGAAGATACCGTGCTTGCGCGTGGAATAGCTCATCCTGTTCCGCACCCTGCCATTTGAGGTATGGCTCATACATGATCAGGTTCTCCTTGAAGCGATCGAGCCCCAAGACATTCCCGCCTTTGTCCTTGGAGTGCTGGGAGAACAGTGTTGGGATTGGCTGGTACAAGGTGTATATCCCCCAATCCCCCTTGGCCTGGTCGAGAAGTGTCTTTGTCACATTCTCATAGGCCTCATGGGCTTTGCGCATGACACGAATGTCGCTCTTGAACGTCAAGGTGCTGAAATGGACGCGATGATCTTTCGCTACCTCGAATTCATGAGCCAGGGAGGTCATGTTTCTGAGGCCTGTCGAATCGCTGAAGTTTCCAGGTATGCTGAGGAATTCTCCAAAGACAGACTTTGGCAGTTCATCGACTGACTTGGTGTAGTCATAGCTGTTCATGAACATCGGAGTCTTCGTGTCCGACATCATCACGCTGATGACAATGGCCGAGCCGTAGGGATCTTTCTCGATATTGTTGCCGAAATTGATAACGGCCTGCAGCTGCTTGTCTGCTGTGTCTCCAGGATACAAGACCACGCCGCCAAAAATCTTGCCTCCTTCGAATGTTGCAAAGTCGTACCGCGTGACCACACCGAAATTACTGCTGCCACCTTTCAGAGCCAGCCAGAGATCAGGATGCTCATCTTTAGTTGCGACCACGATCGTTCCGTTGGCGAGTACGACTTCATACCGTATAACGTTGTCACACACCCATCCGTACCTCGCGGCGTAGAATGAGTTTCCTCCTCCAAGGGTCAACCCGCCGACACCTGTTGCGATCTTGCTGTCAGCAGATCTCAGCCAAGGGAGACAACAATCCAACGTACCGACCGATGACGATCGTCCTCCAGTGACCATGACGCCGATCTTGTCGAGCGCTTCGTACACATCGCTCCAAACCGCTCCAGCTCCGACTGATACAGAGCTGTTGTCTTGGAAATATGTAACATCGTTCATCATGCCGAGATCGATTGTCACACCTTTCTCAATGCCGGCCGCGCCAGCAAAATGAGTGTGGCCCCCGCCACTGGCACCCGAAAGTCATCATCAGCCAAGTGTTTGTCATTCAGGCACGACGTCTCACGTACCGGACCGCGAATTGACATGGCTCGGTCTTGTTTGCGGCCACCAGCGTCTTCACTGCCAAAGCTACTTCCGTGGCATCTCGGGGCTGTAAAAAGCATTCCGGCGTCAAGACTGCAGATTTCGAAAAGTACTTCTGCAGATCATTGTCGTAGGCCTCGATACCAGAAAACACTAGCGCGTCACCCAACCCAGCGTCGGTGAGCGCTTGACACTAGAGCAGCATCAGTCGTGAGTGCGTTATAGTTGAGACCACATCTTCTCACGCAGTGGGACGATTCATCACTCGCAAGCGCCAATCCGAGCTTGACCGACAGTACTGTCACAGTCCGGAGAAGTATCAGCACTCTCATCATGTTGGTAGATGGGTGTTGCAAATGAGATTGCCACGCGACCTCGAGGGATTATACATGTAGAGTGCACAGAACCAATATTGTCTCCTTACAAGCCAATGTGTTCTTAAATACAAGGACATGATGGACGGTGATTGCCGCAAGCTTCAGACGCTGTTGAAATCCTGGAACAGGCTCTTGGTACCTGGTCACTGACTACTGGGATCCTGGTCTCGGGAAATTCGACCGAGGATTCTCAAGATCGTCGAAGAGACTCAAGAAAGACTGTGATATCTACCGACTACTTCATTTCGAGCGTTGAAGAGTCTCAAGCTGGTCTCTCGTGGACGACATGGTTCTAATTTGTTGCAGTGCATGGCCGACAACAGGCACATGTTTGCAGCGCAGAAGTCGACCGCCTCGTCCCACAATACAAACTCAGCTGTGCGTTCGGCATCACAAGCTCTTGCGGCCTGGCCACCTTGGCACCTTCCAACGACGTTATCATCATGGGGCGTATGTGAGGTGAATGGGTTAATAAGGAGTGCATACGTGGGAGATCGAGTGCACTTTTCCGCAAAACTCTAGAATAACTCCGTATCCGTCGTGGCATCAATCAGGAGGCTTTTAAGCCTGTCAAGAAAGTGGTGCTCCACCTCAAGTAACCTCACCTTCCATCGTCACATATGCACATCTGCATCACTGCACGCATGACGGCTGACTGCCTAATAAAGAGAATATGCGAGCTCGGACAAGAATCCTTGAGACTCAGCGTCTGGCCTAGATGTTTTCAAGCTTTTCCAACTAGGGGGCTTGGCTCCGCGAACAATATGGACGGTTGGAATTGAATGTCGGATCGGGCGAGCCTGCTGTATAATAAATCATCATCACAATCTGGTAACTCGGAAAGCAGGAGCTGTAGGTTCGCGCGTTGTGAAAGCTTGTATCAACGGCCCGGACGTGGCAGGTTGGGGTTTCTACCCAAGAGTGTGGTGGACGTGCCGCCAGTGACTACAACAAGCCGTGCCATGCCTGTTGCAAACACTTCATTGGGATAATCGACACCAGGCCTCGATGGATCGGCAGACTAACCCCAAGGCTCTAGACAGGGCCATGAATTCTGGTGGCAGTACCTGTCCCGACAACAGATATTAGCTATTAGCGATATCTGTCCGTCGATCGCTTCGCCATGCCCTACTGCTGTCGTCGTTGAAGCGACATTATTGTTCAACGCCTACTGGTAGCCATGTCTGCGATGGCAGCGACCCCGACTGACCCAGCCCTCATACCAGCTGCGTCTGCGCCACCTGGTCTGACAAACAATCTGATCGACCCGTTGACTAAGGATACTACGGCTGGAATCGTCCTGGCGATTGCGGGCATGGCCATATCGACTACCTTCCTGCTCATCAGAATCTACACGAAAGCATTTCTGGCTCGGATATTTGGCATCGACGATGTGTTACTCATCGTATCTTGGGTATGGAAGAGCCATTGTCTCATCGCGAATGTGGCTTACTCGCTCATAGATGATGTCGTTGGTCGTCCAAATCACGATCGTCTACCTCATGGCTGTCAACATCATCGGAGCCCATATCTGGGACATAAGCCTCCTGGACTTCAACAAAATCGTCCGGATTACTGCCATTGATTCCGTCGTCTATCTCATTGTCATGGCACTGGCAAAGTTCTCGATCCTTCTCTTCTATCTCAAGCTCTCACGAGAGAAGTGGTTCACGTACTCGATCTACGGCGTCATGGCCTTGGTCGTCGGGTTCAGCAGTTCCCTGGCGCTCGCCCTGATATTTGCCTGCACACCTCTCAAGAAGGTCTGGGATGTAATGGTCACTGGAGGGCATTGTATCAACCGAGGACAGATCTATCTGGCGACCGCGGGTCTGAACGCGGCATCGGACATCCTCATGCTGGTGAGCACCTGCGATAACACGACAATGATGCAGACTATCACTGACTGTCCATCTTCTTCGACAGTTCCTGCCCATGCCTATGCTGATCAAGCTTCAAGTGCCGAAGCTGCAGAAAATTGGACTGATCTTCATCTTCAGTATCGGCTCTTTGTACGTCCAGACCACTTTGAGCAGCGAGCGATATCCTGACCACATCATCACAGAACCATGGTTACATCCGTGATCCGTCTATGCCTGATGCCACCACTCGTCAAATCCACCGACATGTCCTGGCATCTAGCCACACCAGCCACCTGGATCTGTGTCGAAGGCAATCTGGTCGTCATCTGCGGCTGCTTACCAATCCTTCGACTCTTCCTCAGACATGTCGCACCACGTCTCATCGGCGAATACGGCAACGCATCTGCCAGTGCTCGTAGTGGACAAAAGCCCGAGAACGCGCTATCCGAGCTCTCCAACATCAAGTCAAATAGCACAAAGCGCAGCACTCGAACGAATTATGCTCGAATGGATGAGCTCGATATGATGAAGACAGAGGTCGGCGCTGCTGAAGACGGCGATTCCGAGACGCATATCATGGCTGGAAATGGTATTACCAAGACTGTAAATATCAATGTGAATGAGGTGTCGAAGGTCTAAAGCAAGGCTGGGGCTCCACAGGCATCGATTCTGTACAGCGGCGCTGTGAGCGTTCACCTAAAAATTTGGACTGATGAGATTCTCAAGCTCTCTCTGGAGAGGCTTGTGGTCCCCAGCCTGACACATCAGGCCTCGTATAGGGTGACGGAGGAAAAAGCAAACCACGGATTTCCAATGCAGAAATGTAGGATAGGGCCCTTTCCTGCCAAATCACCAGTGTACAGTATCGAACACCAATCTACAGATTTTCAAAGTCAACCTCCGCCTTTCTAACTCGCTCTACAATTCTCACATACAAACCCCTTTTCCTCGACATCCTCCAACCTCCACTCAGAATCTATCATCCCTTGCTCCCGTACACAGTCAAAATGCTGCCATATCTCACATTCATCGCAACGCAATGCCGCACTCCCTTCCCCAACATTCTCCCCCGTGAGCCCACAACCCCGACACTTGAAAAACCATTTCACATCTTCCAACTCTCCTGCGTGCGCTCCTACCTCAGTCAAACCCTCCCTCGACATGCGATCCATAGTAGTCTCAGACCCACCACAATCCGGCAAAATCCTCCCCCCTCCCTCCCTCCCGAACCCCCAAATCCACTTCGTCGACTTCCCCTGCAAATTACTCGTCGCCAAATTCTTCCAAACCCACGGAGCAAAAAGTCTCGTGTCCATCCAGAAATTCCAAAGTGTCGAGTCGGTCTTTATCCATCCGTATTTTGTGAAATGGACACTCCAGGGTCGAGAGGGGTCGCTCAGCCATTTTCGACCGTTTTGGGGGGATTTGGGATGCAGGGTTTGGAGTTTTGTGGGGAGGAGGGCGTTGAGTTCTTTGGAGAGGTGTTGGAGGGAGGGGGGGATGGGGTGGGTTCCGGTGTAAGGCATCATGTCAGCGTGGAGGGGTGGGGTGGTGTGTCCGGACATGATGAGGTTGGGGGAGTTGGGCTTTGGGGGATCTTGAGGGGATGTTTTCATGACATGATTTCGACTTGTAGTATAAGCAAGGGAACGATGTTTGTCTTGATTGCTGTGATTCTTTGTGATTTGAGATGTGAATGAACTGACGCTACTTGAGCGATGACGAGATGGTTCTGGTTGGAAGTCAGCAGACGTAGGTGGAAATGGTGTACTGACATTATTCTGCCACGCGCTGTGTTGACTCGCAGAAAGGTGATGAGACAATGCCTCGAAGCCGCTTCTATGCTCCATCTGCTCTCATTGGTCTCAGCTCCTCCTCCTCCTCCTCCTCCTCCTCCTCCTCCTCCTCCTCCTCCTCCATATCACCTTCCACCTCATCACCATCCGAATCATTCATAAAATCATCGTTATCCTCATTAACAGCACCCTGTTCCACAAGCCTACGCTTTTCTTCCGCTTCCCCCTGAACATAACGTTCCATCAGGTTATTGTAAATGTTCTGCTGGTATTTGAACTGATCAAGTTCCGTTTCGATGGCACCAGGGCCGGGATGAAGCGGTGCCGTGGGACGAGCCATAGCGCTGAGGAGCTGAGGATTTCTTTGAGCCCCCGATATCACCGTGTTGTTGGTTGTAGGTGCCCCTGTGGCCGATGTACTCGATCTTTCGGCAGGATCAAGCTGGATCATTTGCTCGCTGGGTTGATCTTGTTCAGTTGTCTCCTGCAGTTCATCGATCTCCTCGCCTTGTTCAATATCTCGTTAATACTCTCCCAATTGGATGCGCTCTGCGAGAATTTCGTCACTGACAGTTTCGTCAGAATCGACGGGGACAAGCTGCTGCGATGGTTGCTGGGTCCTTTCGTTTCCACCGATGGAGTTAGTTGTTGCAGCTTTGTCTCTGCAATTCTGACAAACTATCTCATCCTCGTCTTCCTGGTCCTCACTCAGCAGTCCCTCAGCTCGCGCACAGTCGCTATGTCGATAGACGGCGCACGCTTCGGCGAGTCCAGCGTCAGCAGTCAAATGGCTGAGATGCGATGCGGGATCCAGGAGTGGCAAGCCATCTGCAGCCTGCTGCGAATGAGCTGCACTTGTAGGAGAGCTACAAGTCGACAACTGGCCGGTGGTATTGCCACTGCTTGCGGTTCGACGCCTTCTTCGTGGTTTCGAGGTGTTGTCTTGCACCGATTGCAAGAGGCTGGCCTGAAGTGGCTCACTGCCATCCTTTCCTGCGAGCTCTCTTGCAAGTCTCGATGAATGATCTTCACCCGCAGCAAGATGAGGTCCTTGGGCAGATGTTGGAGTCGTCAACCATCTTTCCCCGCCGATGGTCTCATTCAGGGAATCATTGCGCGGCTGACCCATTCCTGTAGCATCGTATAGTGAAGGGGTCCGGGCACGCTTGTCGGGTTCTGGGACGACCATGTCATCGTCGTGGTCAGTACTATCGCAAACAGGCCTCTGATCGGATGACGCAGCAGCTCCCTGCCCAGTCCTGCCCTTTTTAGATGGTCTTCTCGATGCCGTTTGATACGTTTGCTGCATTCTCGTTGATACTCGGAGCGCATGCAGCCTAGTCGGACTGAGAAAGGCGTAGGACCATCGGTTCACAGCAGATGAGTGACTGAAGAACTGTGATTCTCGACAAGAGGCCGAGGTATAGCACCTAATGTTACAAGTCCTCATCCTCATCGTCTGAACCGGTGCTATCGCCCTCATCCCCGGTGTCTATGTCGCAGATATCAACCATGCCATCCGACTCATGTTCGCTTGCCTCATCCTCATCATTGCTGCTTTCTTGGTCGTCATCGGCATCGAGCCTTTCACCTTCGCTCTCGCCACCACCAAAAGCCTTGAGTATCCTGGAAAACTGCTCGTCGCCGCCCGCGCCTGCGAAATCGTTGATGCGCTTGAGAATAACTGCTTCTTCCTCATCATCGAACGGAAAATCCTTATCTGCCCAAAAATCATTGATCGCTCGATAATGACGCCAGATGCGCTCTCTTCGAACTCGTTTTCTTATAGTGTTCTTCGCGTTCGTGCTAGCTTCCATGCTCGCCAAAATCTCCTTTGGCGAAAGTCTCGGAGTGGCTTTGGGTATTGCAGTCTCGAATTTGACTGCAGCTTTCTCGAAGCGCTTGGTGAGCTCCAGAGCTTCTTTCATGAATGCCACGAGCATAGGCTCCCATTCGAAAGATATCTCGAACTTCTTTGGGTCGAAGCGCAGTCCTGGCAATGCGGTGTCGTTCACTTGTCCGTAAATGCCTATGACGTGAGCTGTATCATCGAAACACCCGCCTCCTGCTGCATCTCCAATGTCACCCGTCCCTAGGTATGTTTCAATCTTTTCCTGCCAGCCGCGCATCTTCTTCCTCTTGTGAGCACTCTTCGTCTTCGCAGACCAATACTTGGGAATCAGTCTTGTCTGCTTGGTCTCCTTGAACACGACTCTTGTCTTGTCTTCGTTACCCTCGGCATCTTTATCGAACCGGTCAAAGGTCATCTCGAGATCAAACTGATGTATCATTCCATGCTCCATGTTTGGCACGTAGTCTTCTCCAGCATCCCAGTATATCAGACATCGTGCTGGATCTTTGATATATGCTTCGAGGTATTCTCGAGTTATGTTTGCGCGCCATGAGCCCGAGACCGCGCGAATCGAGGGCCACAATTTGATATGGTCCCAGGGAGTATCGGTATTCTGCGATGCGAAAGAGAAGATGCGCTGCCAGAGCTCGTTTGGCAACACCGGCATAACGTTGGAGGTCATGTTGTTCTGTATGCAGGACGATGAGGCGCGCAATGGCAAACACTTCACGAAGAGGTGTAGGAAATTGGACTTTACCTAGCTAGGCGCGCAGCCAATTTGCGGTGTGCTCCTTGTGCCTGCACCGCGTGGCTGGACCATGATGGTGAAGGTGAAGCTGTGACGCGTAAGCTCAGTCACATGACAGCACGTGACTTCTTGGCAGGAGAAGGATTTCCACACTGTATTTTAGACCATATCCGGGGTTCCGTCACACACTCCTCCCCGCTGTTCGCGGGGGTTCCGGCTATACGTAAAATCGCTTTTTCTTAGTAGGCTATACGTAAAACTCGATATAGTAGTAGGTTCTATTCCCGTATAGATATCTAGGTATATATAGTATTAAACCGCGAGTCTAGTTATTATATTAGCTAGTTTATCCGAGTATATAGTAGCTATAGGACCTTACTATCGCTATTTCTTATATAATCCTTAGTAGGCGCGTCTACCTTATTCTAAAGCGTATAGTCCTCCTATTTCTTATATTCTACTATACGGATTATATATAAAACTCGATATAGGGCGTAATAAGGGCAAAAACGTAAAGAGGGTGCGAGCTAAGCGGTTAACCGAGGTAGAGAGGGCAGAAAGGGTAGTAGAGCGCGTCGTTTCGAGATACTACGAATTAGTAGCTAAATCGGATAAGAAGGTTAGTATTCGAGCGCTCTATAAGAGTAAGAAAGCAACTCGCCTATATTCTCGCATCTATTAGCGGTTAAGAGGCCGTAGGTCGCTATTTAGCCGTCTATTAACTAATACTAAATTAGACGAGTCTTAAGAGATAGCGCTAGCGGATTATTATTAAAAGAGGGACGAAATAGATATATTCTTACTAGTACCGCTAATTACCGTTATAGCGATAGATATACTAGTAAGCCTGCTACTAGAAGGTATATCGAAGGATATAATACCGCTATTTAGTATAGACTAGGCGGACCGCTTTCTAAAGTACTATAGACTTAGCAAAGTTAAGTCTAAACTAATTAAGGTATAGCGGAAGGAAGCTTACGACCCTTCTACGATAAGGAGCTAGTTTAACTAGTTTAAGGCGATAATAAAGCGACTAGATATAAAGCCGCGGAATATATAGAATTTCGATAAAACTAGCTTCCGGGTTAGAATTAGTAGTAACGAGTATATCGTTATAATAGATACGAAGCGGCGCGCCTAGACCGCGTAGTAGTTCGGGTTAGTTTAGTTTAGTTTGCTAAGCCGAAGATCTAGTTTGGTTTAGGTTAGTTTGCTAAGCAACTATAGGATTAGCTAGTTCGAACTATAGAATTTATCGGTTTCTAAGAAGTGTAAGAATGTCTACGTAACTCGAAGCAAGCCCTTTATAAGATACGAGAGTATAGCCGGTAGCGTAGCCGGCATTTTTCAGTTATAGGAAGGTACTTATATAACCCTAAATCTATAGACAATTAGCTAAGGGTACTAACTAATTAAAAGCATATATATATATAAGCTATTATAGTTTAGTTTAGAAACTATATTTATTAGGTATAAATTTTATCCTTTCGCTCGCTATTTAATTCCCTAACTGCTCGGCAGAATATTATTATCTAGATCTAGGCAGAACTTATCGATTTCCCTAGAAGCCCTCCTTAAGAAGTTCTAGCACTTTCTAACTAAACTATTCTCGAATATTAAGTACTAGGATAGCTCCTCTCTCGGTATCGGTATAGTATATAAAAGAGCTATAAGGTAGCTCTATAGAACGTTCTACTAGTTACTCGCTATACTAAGGCCGAATACTAGTTCGTTCCTTAGAACTCTTAGTTATTTAGGAGATATTAAGGATAGGGTAGGCAGTAACTTCGTATTATATAAGGAGGTAGAGGCTACTATAGAGGAGTCCTTTAACCTATAGAAGATAGTAAAAGATATAGAGGCAGCTATAGGTCTAGGTACCTAGTTGAATTTCTAGTAGGTAGAGTATAAGGATATTTAGAGGGAGTATTAGGTAGAGTTGCGAAGGTAGGTATATAATATAGTCTAGAAAACAGGGATAATGCCTATAACTATAAGTATTAGGTTCTTTAACCTTCCTTATTTTTCCCTATTTTCTTTTTATTAAAATCTAAACTAATACAAATTAACCGGAATGTCTATCTTCTTTTAGTTCTTTAAAAACCCTAGCAGCGTAGCTAGTAGCGTAGCCGGTAGCGTAGCCGGCAGCGTAGCCGGCCTTTTAACTCCTTAGTACTAACGGGATTTTCGAAGACTTCTATTCCGTACGGCTAATAAAGTATACTATACTATATATATATACTTAGAGAGTATTTAGAGCGCGGTATATAGCGCCGTATAATAGCGGCTTATTTCGTATATAGAAAAGCTTATAGACGACACTACGAACATCCTTCCTACTAGAACATCTATCCTACCTAGTACTATCTCGAATATAGACATTCTAGCCTTTTAGAATCTAATCGAGTGCTTTGAAATCCTTATCTATAATCGTTATACGCTTCGCGTAGATAGCTATAAGGTTAACCGCTAAAATAGTATTAGTATAGTCCGAAAAGAGGTAGAAGAGAAATATACATTCGAAGATACGAACTAGGTAGGCTTCTATAGCCTCTTAAAGGGCGCCTATCGCGGAGGCTTAGAAGCGAAGGTCCGTTCTATAATTCTAGGTAATTTCGCGAACAAGTCGTTAGAAAGGAGCTTTACGGATTAGGAGATTAGTCTAATTAGAACTCTTCTAATACTTTCGAATCTTACGGAGGGCTACGGCTAAAGAAGGATTAGTAAAAAGACAGTAAGAATGCCGGCTACGCTACCGGCTACGCTACCGGCTACGCTACCGGCTATAAATAGGACTTGCTTCCTAGGCGCTATCGACGCTTCGTACGATTATTACTACTAGTAGTAGAAGCGCTAGTCGTCGTCTTACGTAGAGCCTTGCCCGCCGTTATTTTACGTAGAGCCTTACTCGCGACGCCCTTTCTAGTACTAGATCTAGCGGTAGTAGTAGTAGCCTTCTTACGTTAATATACTATACTCGTTCTACTATTTCCGGTCTTATTACGACTCGTAGAAGTAGTAGGTCCCTTCTTGCGAGGCGTCGTAACTTAGTTAAGTAGACTCGGTATTATAAAAGTCGTCGAATTAAGGAAAAAAGTACGTTACGAAGGTATACGAAAGCGCGCGCGGAGCGAGGGTATTACGGAGATAGTAGATATAGAGCGTAGAGGTATAGGTATCGATACGAAGGTTAAATATAGCGAGAGAGGTAGTATCGCGGTATCGCTAGGTAATAGAGTAAGCGTCGCGTAAGCCTATATTATAGTAACGTTAGAGTAAGGAAAGAAGGTAGGTACGGCTAAAAAAGGCAGGTACGGCAAACTTTGAAATATAGCCGGTATATATAGCCGGTATAGTAATAGGCGAAAGCCTCCTTTTAATAAATAGCCGGCGTAATAATAGTATCCTACTATAGTATAGATATTCTTTAGTAATGCCCTTACTAGCTATAGTAATCTTATAAGTAACCTAGGCTTATTACTAGGAAATATAAGAAATATTAGGTAGGCTATACTAAATAAGCTAGTTATTTAGTAGGAAAAGGCCTACTACCGTCTCTATATACCGGCTACGAGTGCCGGCTATCGCTCTAAATTCAACTCCGCCCTATCTCGGAGACTAAGGTACCGAGCGGAAACCCTATAGCTTATATTTACTCGATTATCGCAGAGCGCTTATAGGTAAGGTATTAGAAAAGAGTATAAAAAGTACGAGAATAGTATCCTAGGATATAGGTCGTAAGTGAATAAGAGTAGCACGCCTAGTTATTTATATAGTACGTTACTCTATACGACTAAGAGCCTATATTATCTCGTGCTTCGCTTATAAGACCTCGACTCTACTAATATACTATTATTCTCCTACTCGGTCGCTATCTTAATTCTTCTTCGAGTTGCCGGACTTAGTACGTATCTATAGCTATACAATAGCGCTACGTATTATAGAGAATTAACTCCGCCGTATCTCGAAGGCTAAGGTACCGAGCGGAAATCCTATAGCTTACATTTACTCGGTTATCGCGGAGCGCTTATAGGTAAGGTATTAGAAAAGAGTATAAAAAGTACGAGAATAGTATCCTAGGATATAGGTCGTAAGTAAATAAGAGTAGCACGCCTAGTTATTTATATAGTACGTTACTCTATACGACTAAGAGCCTATATTATCTCGTACTTCGCTTATAAGACCTCGACTCTACTAATATACTGTTATTCTCCTACTCGGTCGCTATCTTAATTCTTCTTCGAGTTGCCGGACTTAGTACACATCTATAGCTATATAATAGCGCTACGTATTATAGAGAATTTCTCGTTAAAGTTTCTCTCTCGTAGGCTTGCTATCTACCTCGTAGTATAGAGGATTAAAGTGCTAATACTAAAGAATCTCCTTATAGTTAGGATGCTAGGGCTCCTTAGGACCTTTGTATTTTAGGTCTAAATAGAGACGTATTATAAACGTTCTATCGCCCTTTCGCTTACTATCCGCTAGGTCGTAATATACGAAGAAACTAATCTAAATATAGCTCGTCTCTATAATAGCCGGGTAAATATAGAGCGCTAGGTTTCTACTTCGTACCTTAGACCTAGAGACGGCGCGGAGATAAAATTAGAAATATAGTATTAGCTAGTAACCGGCCCTATACCTATAGGCTAGTTTTAAGCCTATATAAGAGGCCTCCTTCTATAGAGTAGACAGATTATTAACCTCGTATAGTATATTGTTTATATTACACTTCTATAATGCCTATGTTGCAGGGCTCTAGTTATTAGCCTAAGCGATAGTCTCGTTATCCTATCTTACTAAACATAGCTGCCTATATTGCTATAGGTTATATTACCCTCGGTAGCCTATACTATTGCTACAAGTAGTAGTAGTAGTATTAGTTTCCGTCCTTTATTAGAGCCGAAGGTAGGGCTATCTCTTTATATCTAACAGGTTCGGGTGTGTTAAAGGCAGTCTCTAGGCACGAATAGCTATAACCGAAGCGAGGGTACGATAAGAGCCTATAATACGGACGATACCGAAGTATCTTAAGGGGCCGTTACGACAAGCAGAGAAACCTCTTAACAAGGGCATCGCTTTAACCCCGAAAAGCTGCAAACCCTTAGGACTGTTATAGCTTAGGGTCTGTAACTGTAGCTAGCTTCTAAGGACTCGGCTCCGGGTCGAAGACCTATTTAGCACCGCTTACTCGAGATAAGCTACCGCCCGCCTAAGGAGGAGATAGATTAATTACCTATCGGCCTTGCTTAGTTTGCTAAGACTATCTATACGATAGCAATTTCTAGATTACAGGTCGGATACCTAGATAGTTCCCCTATTAACCGGATAGATTGTTTTAGAATTCGCTGCCTCGTTCGGATAGTACTTAGCCTTCTACTAGAAAAAGAAGGTCCCCGCCCCCCGCCTAGCTAAAGGAGATAACGATAGTTAGTAAAGCGGCTAGTTTCTAGGATCTAGGTATAAATAGAGATTGCAGTTCCTTCCTCCGAGAGGCTTTTATCTAAATTTACTAAATTAAAGCTCCTAGGGGTGTCTAGGCGACCCCTAGGAGGCTAAATTCTAATACTACCCTAGGGGTAACATTAGAAGAAAACAGCCTAGGATACTATTTTCTCGTATAGCAATATCGAAACAAGCTAAACCTATAATATATACTAAAAACACTTTCTTATAGCATTTTATTTTAACTACTTTATAACAATCGAATAAGCTCTAGCGAAAGCGAGTATTACAAATTAGCGGAATCTTCGGAATCTAATAACCTACTAGACTCTATTAACGAAGAAATCAGGCGACGACTAGTTGTTATAAGCGCTATCGACCTAGGGGCTATCGAGCCTTCTATACCCGAGGCTCTCTATAATGTCGTTATAAAGATAATTTAAGGGCAAACTAACCTTCTCCGTTAGAATAGGCGTCGCCCGCTAGAGCCGGGAAGCAGTAGGAACCCTTTATTCGAAGAGTAGAACGCTACGGCGTACGTAGAACGCTTTAAGGACAATTTAACTAAGTACGAACTCGAAGAGGAGTCGGACTAGTATAAGGTCCGGTCCCTTATAAGGACTACTATTACTAAGCTTTACCGAACCCTTAGAACCCTAGTTAGCTACCTAGAAAAGGACGACAAGTCTAATACCGACTAGGAGGTCTTTAAGCAGGCCTTTATAAGGGAGTATCGGGATCGCGATAGCCGTCGTATTAAAGGTAGTCGTACGTAGCTTAAGAACCTCTATATAGAGAGGCGTACCGAAGATAACGACCTAAAGGAGTATGTCCGCGAGTTTGTTAAGTTAGCGGACGGCATTAACTAGTAGGACCTCGAGAACTCTTAAAGGACGAGGCTACTCCTTAAAGGGTTGCCGTAGTCTACGGCTAAGCGTGTCTTCCGTCGCTACAAGCTTAGCGAAGCTAATCCTAAGACCTTTAGGAAGTATAAAGAGGTCCTAGAAGCTGTTAAGGACGATATTAATAGCTCCGCCGATGCGAAGAAGTTTATTTATAGCGAGGACCGGAATAACCTAGCTTAGGTAAAGAGCGACGCCTCGGGAAGTAGAGGACCTAGGTTCCTTCCTAAGTCGTAGAGCGGTCCTAAGACTGTAACTCCTACTATTACTAAGCACTCTTAGGACGTTGCGGACTTAGCTAAATCCCTAGCCTAGCTTAACCTTAATACGAAAGCACTATAGCGAGTTAGGGAGGTTATTAATACTAGTATACTAAAGGATATACTACCGGTCTACTAGGTTTCCGATCCTAACTACCCTAAGGCCCCTTTAGTTAACGTCTACGCTATACGGAAGATCTATTCTAACTTAGATAGCAAGTACTAGATATGCGGCGGTTTCAAATATATTTAATCGGACTGCCCTATCTAGAAAGAGCTTCTTAAGAGGAAGCTCGTTATATAAGTAAATAGTTGGTTCTACTATACCGATACCGGCGACAAGATTAACTTCGAGTAGGATCGTAGAGCCCCGAAGCTACCTTAACTTAGGAGTCTTCTAGAGAAGAAATATAGTAGTAAGATCGAGTTTAAGGATGCTAGGAATAGTACTCTCGCCGCTATTGCTAAACGAGAAACTTAGAAGGTTAGGGCAAAACAGGTTAAGGAGCGGAGTAGTAACGGTACTACTAAGCCTATTAAAGTCAACTTTGTGTCTTAGGACCCGGACGTAGTTACTAATGTTTACGCGGTTACTAAGAACAGTATAGATGTCTACGCTGCTATAAGGTCCTAAACTTAGTCGTCCTAAACCTAGTCCTAGGGCAAGGGTAAGAGCCCGCAGAACCCTACCCGCCCTAGTACGGCAGCCCCTACTAGGATACTTAAGAAGCAGGCAGCTAATAAGGCTAAGAAACAGCGAGAATTAGTCGCTAAGACTAAGACACTCTAGATAGCTAAAGACTATATAACCCGAGCTAGTATAGCTACTCCGGAGGTACTAGAGACTCCCGATATCGATATAGAGGATAATACTACCGACCTTAGTAGTACCCTAGGCCTAGCTAACCCGCCGGCCTATAAACGAAAGTTAGCCGACCTAAAGAGCTTTCGCTTTAATAGGTATATAAAGAAGTATAGTGCCGGGCCTACTAACTCTTACGATACAAAGGCAAATGCTCTCTTCTAGGCTTTATAGTTCCTAGACCTCAAGTCTAACGTGTCTATAGAAGAGCTTCTAGTATACGGTTTGCCTACTAACCTGTTCTAGAGCCGGATTCCTAACGATAATACCTTTATAAAAGACTTTATAGCCCTCCGACGTAAATAGGGGCGAGAGGACTATATCGACGTCTCTTCCCTATAGTTCCTTCCTAAATTTTTAGGGGCCTAGGAGTCTATAGAAGGCGAATTAGTAACCTACGAGAGCTAGGAGACTATCGATAATACTAACGAAGAGGGGATTAAGGAGATAGGCCGAGGGGATAGTAATAATACCGACCCTACTTCGGTTTCAGTTTCTATTAAGGCTATCTAATTTACTAGCTAACAAATTAGTCGAGTAGGACCTCCTCGACTTAAGGAACTTTACTCTATCCCTAATAATATAGACCTTTCCGTAGTTACCCGTTCCTTTGCTATCGTTCCCGCTATCTATATTTAAGTTACTATTAGAAGCTATAGTTAGTAGTTACTAGTAATACTTAATAATAGTTTAGAGTTACTTATTGTAAGTAAGCGCTAGGCTAAACAGCTCCGACTGCTAATAAACAGAGATATTTCCCTTAGTATATAGGGAGTAAATAGGGAGGTTGCGCTAGTAGGTGCCTACTATAATATTATAGTAGACGCTTTCGGTATATGCTTTTCCTTTACCTTCTAGATTGCCGCTAACCCGAATACGCTAATTATTCTAGGTCGTCTATAGTCTCGTATAACCCGGGGTATCTAGCGTAACTACGACGATAGCTCCTAGGAAGGAACTATCGCTAACTAGAAGGGTAACCGAGTCGTATTTACTAGTTATATCGGAAACACTAGCTATAAGTCCTACGAGGATATCCTTGCTGCTTCTAAGCGCTCTTCGGGAAACGCTATAGCGCGGTTATAAGACCGGCAATCTGCGCTATAAGTTAGTATAGCTCGAATAGGTTATATCTAGAGGTACGCCGCTTCGTACGTTAAGGCAAGTTTCTAGGCTCTATACTAAGGAGGCGAATGCTCGAAGCGATAGCGAGTATAACAATACGGTAACGACAACCTAGTATACGAATCTCGGTAATAATACTATCGCAATTATCGCCGCCGGAAGCGGATCTACCCGAGCCCGAATCCGAACTAACTAATTAGAGCGCCGATCGAATAATACCCCGGGGGTATTATTAGGAATCTAACGTTTTCGCCGGAATTATAAATTAAGATTACTAGCTATATACCTACCGACTTAAGGAGACTTCTAATAAAGTTTACGCGCTATTCTATTACGCTAATCTCCGGGCCTAACGTTAAAGAGAGAGGGCTCGGGTATTACGAGCGGTTAGTATATATACCCTATATAAGAGGGTAGCTAACAAGATTAAGCCCGTAAAAGGCAGCGTATATATAACTAATAGGTCTAATCCTAGTAGAAATCCTAACTAGCGACAAAAGTGCCTTAACCGCAAAGCGATATTAATACCTAGGGATAGTCCGTACGACTAGAGGTATATTATAAAAAAGTTCTCTACTATTCCTAGGGGTTTAAGGCTAACGCCGGAGAGACTAGCGAAAATCAAACCTAGTATCGAGCTTTCGGATCTTAAACTAGATTTGCTATACGAGCTTCTATACAACCGTAAAGCCGTGTTAGTATATAACTTTACGTATCTAGGCAGGATTAACCTAGAGGTTGCCCCTCTATAGAGGATCCGAACGATCGAGTATAAGCCTTAGGCTTACCTAGGGTTTAAGCTAAACCTAAGCCTAAGAGGTATAGTTAAGGACATAATACGGCAGCGTGTAAAGGCTAGCACCTTAGAGCCTTCCTATGCCTCGTATCGCAATCTATACTTCCTAGTTTAGAAGAAGACAGCTCCTAGGGAACTAAAGAAGTACCGGCTAATTAACGCTGCCTAAAAGTTTAATACGGTTACGATTAGAGATACTAACCTTCCCCCGGAGACTAATAGGTTCTCGGAAGCCTTTGCTAATTATATAGTAGCCTTACTAGTTAATATGTTCTCGGGCTACGACTAGATACCTCTCTACTCCGATAGTAGAGACCTAACTAGTTTCGAAACGCCTCTTAGACTAGATAGACAAACTACCCTTCCCTAAGGGGCGACTAACTTAGTAGCCTAGTTCGTGCGTATTATAAATTAAGTCCTCGCGGTATATATTTCTTATACTACGATGCCTTTCCTCGACGACATTAGTATTAAAGGCCCTAAAACTAGGTATAATAACGAAGAAGTAGAGCCTAGTATCCGTAGGTTCTTTCTTAAACACATCTAGAACCTCGATAGTATCCTCTGCGACTTAGAGCGGGCTAACTTAATAGTATATAGGGAAAAGCTTTAGCTCCTATATAAGCGTATAAACATTATCGGGTTTGTTACTAATAAGAACGGCCGCTATCCTAACAATGTATAGGTCCTAAAGATTGTATCCTAGCTAGACCCTACCTATTAGAAAGATATCCGGATCTAGCTTAGAGTAGTCTCCTACTTCCGTATCTAGGTCGAAAACTTTGCGTTAGTATATAAGCCTCTATACGCCTTGCTTAAGAAGGATATAGAGTTTAAATAGACCTCCGTTTACTAAGCCGCTAAGGACAAGGTTACTAAGGCACTTGTTAGCGCGCCTACGCCTACCTCTATTAACTACTCGGAAGGCGTAGGTCTGCTAATTGTCGCTATCGACTCGAGCGGGGAAGGCTATAGCGAGATGCTAGTATAGTATAATCGTAAGGAGCCCTCCTTACGTTACCCTGTCCGGTACAAGTCCGGTCTATAGAAACTAATCGAGGCCCGATACGATACTAGCAAGCGAGAGTGCCTTAGTGTCTATAAGGCTCTTAAGAAGTTCCGTTCTTAGCTCTTTAGAGTGTTCTTTCGCCTAGAAGTCGACGCTTAGACGCTAGTCTATTAGCTTAACCGTATAGCCTCTAACCTGCCTAACTCTACGATAGCTCGGTAGGTTGCCTAGATCTATTTGTTTAATTTCGACGTCTTCTATGTTCCTAGTAAGAAGTATACTAGACCGGATAGCCTTTCTAGAAGGCCTACTATAGAAGAGGATATCGCCGAGATAGTAGAAGAAGAGGATGTCGACGCGGTTATTAACCGCACCTTCTTTACTACCTTCTATATTAACGCTATACCGGTAATTACTAGGTCTACTGCCGACGACTAACCTAGTAACTAGCCTAACGAAGACCCTACTACTAATAGCGAGGACTAGGACGATACTAAGGCGGGCGAACTAGGTAGGGATAATATCCTTAATAGGGTCTACTCCGACGACTCCTATAATATCGCCTACTTCCTTACCTATACGAAGAGAGCTCTCGGTCTATTAAAGAGTTAATACCGTCGTATTATTCGCTATTCTCGGAGGTTCCTTATTAAGGATCGTATCCTTTAGCGATAGGCTATAGCTAATATACCGCTCTAGCGTGTTATTAACGATCTAGCAGCCTAATAAGAAATCCTTCGTTCTGTTTACGATAAGCTCGGCTACTAGGCGGCGGAGGGCACCTTCGATGTCCTTCGTCGACGCTACTAGTAGGACGGCGTATAGGCTAATGTCTCCCGCTACTATAAGAGCTGTCCTAAGTGTAACTTTAGGAATAGCTACCGACGTCTAGGGGAGCTACGTATCCCTACTACCTAGTTAGTTAGGGAGCGGTAGTATAGCGATAGGGTCTATCTTAGCCGCAATAATAGCCTATATATTATTCGAGAGGGTCTTTCTCGATAGCCGGAGGCCTATTATTTCTATAAGGGTTGCGGTGCTATTAATGCCCGTAATATAGCTACCTTCCTATTTAAGGATCTATTTTGCCGCTAGGGAATACCTTACGAGGTTATCTTAGACAACGCTACGAACAATATAGCTAAGGAGCCTTAAGCGCTACTTATTTTATATAGGGCGAAGAACGTTCGTATCTCCCTATACTATCTCTAGTCGAATGCTATTATTAAGCGCGGCTATCGGTCGTTAATTAATGCCCTATCTAAGATAACTAATAGTAGCGACAGATTAGTTCCTATTTCTACCCGCGTCCTAGCCCTTCTCTAGGCGGACCGAACTACTATTATCGATACGACTAGACTTATACTAGCGGAACTTATAATTAGGAGGGACGCCGTTCTTCCTATTAAATTGTCCTATCGCACGTACGGCGTTTACGATTAGGGGTCTGTTCGTACTAGGGCAGATCTTCTTACCCTACGGGCTAAGGCTCTTAAAGATATAACTACGACTTCTTAAGAGGGTCTTGCTCGATAACGTCGCCTTCGGGAAAAGGCTAAGTAGTATTTTGTTAGGACTAAAGAGGTTATACGTGATTAGTATATAACCGGGCTCGAGTAAAGCTAGGGTCTCGATGCCTTAGGTAGGGCTTAGCGCTTAGCAGTAGGCTAACTTGCCTACCTTCCTCCCTCTCCTTCTAGCTCCTTATCGAATACTACTCGTACCTACTACTACCCTATCTACCTACTAGCATACCCTTCTTATACAGTATTCGATCTACCCTTTAAGGGTAGTAGCTAGACAGTCCTTATTTCAAGCTTTTAGCGGTATAGCTACAAACAAGACTAATCTAACTATATTGCGCCCGAAGAACGGGACCTATACGTACTATTCTATCGAAACAACCGTACCAATTATTAAGCAAGGCCTTCTATACGGCCTATTACACTAAGTTAAGCATACTAGGCCGATATCTACTAATTCCGCTATATCCGCATCTTAGGGGCTAATAATATATTATTAGTGTCGCCCCTTATAATAGCCGGTTTATTACGAAACAACAACCGTGCTGCCGCTAGCAGTACTAGCAACGACAATGCTAGTAGTATAGTGCCTACTAAAGTGCCTACTAAAGCACCTACTAAAGAGCCTGCTACTAAGCCTACTAAAGAACCTGTAACTCTAGGTAACGACCTAGAATTGCCTGTCGACGACATTCTTAACAATATTATTAATCGTCGATATAGCTAACTAGCCTTTAGTCCTTAACTAGTAGGGAGACTTTAAGAAGCTACTTAAAACAGGCTTACTACTTTACGCTAAGAACAACAGTTAAAGGATAACCTTCTTAAGCTTCGCCGCCTTTAGGAAGCCCCGACAACTAAACTAATAGCAGGGCCTTCCTTACTAACTATTTAAAAGAAGGATGCTAAACTTAAGGATTGTACCGTGTTCGATAGCTCTAGTCGAAAACAATATAACGACTATATTCGTAACTGTAAGCTTAACTAGCGCAACGCACTAAGAGCGCTACTAGACGACTATTCCTTAGTCGTATACGCTATATAGTACATTAATAGCGACCTAAAGCGTACATAGGATAACTATTTTGATTCCCTTTACGACTAGACCGCTATTTAATAGCAAGACTATAAGACCGTTATACTAAACACCCTTAGGAACCCTATACTAAGGCAACAATATACTTAGGACTAGTACCTTCGAGCTAAATAGAAGACTAATTAATCGGCTCGCTTATTTAAAGCCTATTTAAAGACCCTCGAAGATAACCTTCCGGCTAAAACCGACTCTATATAGATCTCCGAAATACGCCCTAAACTAAGGTAGGAGCTTGTCCTTAAATTAGACCGCCGCCGTGTGTTCGAATAGGCTAATCTTATACGCATTTAATTTATAATTAAAGTAGAGACTATAGAGCGTATAGTATAGCTATAGCAACGGTTAGAATCTAAGATACGACTATCTACTAACCGTAGCCGCGGTAGAAACTAAGGAGGTACTCCCTAAACTAACACTGCTAACAATAGAAACAGTAACGACTAACGTAGAAGGGGCAGGGGCCGATACCGCGGTAGAAACCCCTAGCGAGGAAGAGGACAAGGAAGGGGCTTATTTCTATACGCCCCTAATCGTTCCTCTAATTCTAGCGCTAATCCGAGTAGACATAGTAACCTCCTAACCGGATTGAAGTGCTTTAACTACGATAGCACTAGTTACCTACTAGGCTAATGCGACAAACCTAAGGATTAGGCCCGAATCGACCGTGCTACCGCCGAGCACCGTAAGCACCTTTTAGCCGCTAATGCTACCCCTATCGGTCCTTCGAAAAAAGAATAAGCGCCGTACTAACTGTTAGCCTTATGCGGCGTAAGACCATCGACATTGTGCTAGCTATTATACGTACCTATCTCGTATCGGACACGTATAGGACTAACTATAAGACTAAGGTTATACTAGATCTAGGAAATTCAGTTAGTGCCCTTATTAGCTATCGCCTAGCTAAGCAATTAGACCTTCGACAACTGCCTAGGACTAACCTACTAACCCTTACTTAGTTTAATAACGCTCGGCACTTAACCTACGGAGCCTACTATGTCTATATAGCCCTAAAGGACGACCTCGGCAATAAGCGCCTACTAAACTTTACTACCTACGCAGTAGACATAGATAGCCTCCCGTCTAATATTGTTATTAGCAACCCTGTCCTTAAGTACTATGCTATAGTTATAGACCTAGGCCTTTAATAGTAGCGATTTAGAATCGCTCGGAAAGAGGATATTAAACACATCGATATTAGCGAGTGCCCTAATAATATTAGGGTCCTATTTATTAGCAACCTAACCCTAGCTAATCCGACGGCCGACCTGCTCGGTAATAATAATAAGCCTATACCCCCTAATAGTATAGATCCTAATTAGCTTGCTCGCATACTAGAGCCTATCCGAGAGACCTATATTAATATGTTTAAACACTACCTAGCATCGATATTGCCTATATTTAAAGAGACGGATTATAAGATTAATATTATAGAGGGCAAGGAGGTTCCTTTTAGACCACTCTATAACCTTAGTAAGCGCGAGCTTGCTATATTGCGTAAGTATCTAGAGGAAAACCTAGCTAATAGGCGTATTCGGTATAGTAACAGCCCTGCCGGTATACCTATCCTGTTCGTGCTAAAGAAGGATAGTAGCCTACGCCTATGTGTCGACTATCGTAGGCTTAACGCTGTTACTATTAAAGACCGCTATCTACTTCCGCTTATTAATAAGACCCTCGATCGCCTTTCTAGCGCTTACTACTATACTATATTAGATATTAAGGATGCATACTATCGCATCCGCATCCGTAAGGGTAATAAATAGAAGATAGCCTTTCGTACTCGCTATAGCTATTTTAAGTACTTAGTTATGCTATTTAGGCTAGCTAATGCCCCTAC